TGTTTTTGTATGCCTAGTGAATTTCATTTGGATGCCAGTGTCCTATTACTCTCACCACAAGCACAATACATATGCTTTATTTTACAGTTCTGGAGGTCTAAAGTCCAAAATAGGTTAGCAGAGTTGGTTCCTTCTGGAGATTTTAGGAAAGGATTCATTTCCTTGCCTTTTCCAGCCGCTAGACATTGTCCGAATTCCTTGATTTATAATCCCATGTCACTCCAGCCTCTATTTCTATTATATCTCTTTTTGGTTCTGTTTTCAGATCATAGTGAGATAATACCTTCAACATGTTGATGAAATAGTGAACAACCAGAATTCTGTACTACTGAAATAGCCTTTGAAGAATGAAGACAAAGTAGGCATTTTCAAACAAATCAAAATGAATACATTTTGTCACTAGCAGACTCATAAAGACACATCTAAAATGTAAGGATGTGTGTGTATGTGCTTAGCTGTGTCCGACTCCTTGCAACCCCTGGACTGTACCCCACGAAGCTCCTCTGACCATGCGATTTTCCAGGCAAGAATACTGGAGTGGGTTGCCATTTCCTCCTCCAGGGAAAGTCTTCCTGACCCGGGAATCAAACCCAAGTCTCCTGTGTCTCCTGCATTGGCAGGTGGATTTTTTTTTACCACTGAGCCACCTTTGATCCAAAAATATAAGGATACAGAGAGTTAAAGTTGTATCCAATCAAATACAATAGTCAAAGAAAGTTGGTTTACAATATTAACATCAGCAAAAACATTATTGGAGATATAGAGAGGTGTTGCCTAATGATTTATAGGTTCAAATTATAAGAAAGATATAATAATTGCAAATTTATATGTATCTAATAAGCTAGCTTCAGTAAAACAAAAATAGAATTGCAAGGGGATATGTACAAATCTGTTGTTCTGGTGGGATTTTTTATCACTCAGTAACTGATAGATAAAACAGGCCAAAAAAATGTCAGCAGACATATAGAAGATTTGAACAGCACAGTTAACAAGCTTAAGTTAATGAATATATAAAATAATTCACCTAAAAATTAAGAGCACATATGTGCTTTTCAAGCACATAGAAAATTATACCCTTTAAAATTACTAATTGTATGTTACATAAGTATCATCTCAAACTATTGAGATTTATCAATTTTGGTCTGTCATATTGGTGAAGATACCTAAGTTTGATTATACATTGAGTTGTTGAGACTGTGAGGAAGCAGGTACATTGTGGTGGAAATGTAAATTGATAGTTTCTGTGGATGGCAATATAGCAATGTTTGTCAAAACTATTAATGTCCACACCTGTGACTCAGCAGTTCCATTTCTAGATAGTATCCTACAGATATATACATTTAAAAATGATTTTTTGGGGTTAGTGATCCAGTGAGTTAAGACTTGATTTTCATTCATTTCAGTTCAGTTGCTCAGTCATGTCCAACTCTTTGTGACCCCATGAACCGCAGTATGCCAGGCCTCCCTGTCCATCACCAACTCTCAGAGTCTACCCAAAACTATGTCCATTGAGTCGGTGATGACATCCAACCATCTCATCCTCTGTCGTCCCCTTCTCCTCCTGCCCCCAATCCTTCCCAGCATTAGGGTCTTTTCCAATGAGTCAACTCTCCATATGACCAAAGTATTGGAGTTTCAGCTTCAGCATCAGTCCTTCCAATGAACACCCAGGACTGATCTCCTTTAGGATGGACTGGTTGGATCTCCTTGCAGTCCAAGGGACTCTCAAGAGTCTTCTCCAACACCACAGTTCAAAAGCATTAATTCTTCAGCGTTCAGCTTTCTTTATAGTCCAACTCTTAACATCCATACATGACTACTGGAAAAATCATAACCTTGACTAGATGGACCTTTGTTGGCAAAGTAATGTCTCTGCTTTTTAATATGCTGTCTAGGTTGGTCACAACTTTCCTTCCAAGGAGTAAGCGTCTTTTAATTTCATGGCTGCAGTCACCATCTGCAGTGATTTTGGAGCCCCCCAAAATAAAGTCAGCCACTGTTTCCACTGTTTCCCCATCTATTTGCCATGAAGTGATGGGACTAGATGCTATGATCTTAGTTTTCTGAATGTTGAGTTTTAAGCAAACTTTTTACTCTCCTCTTTCACTTTCATCAAGAGGCTCTTTAGTTCTTCACTTTCTGCCATAAGGGTAGTATCATCTGCATATCTGAAGTTATTGATCCCGGCAGTCTTGATTCCAGCTTGTGCTTCATCCAGCCCGGCGTTTCTCATGATGTACTTTGCATATAAGTTAAATAAGCAGGGTGACAATATACAGCCTAGACGTACTCCTTTTCCTATTTGGAACCAGTCTGTTGTTCCATGTCCAATTCTAACTGTTGTTTCCTGACCTGCATACAAGTTTCTCAAGAGGCAAGTCAGATGGTCTGGTATTCCCACCTCCTTCAGAATTTTCCAGTTTATTGTGATCCACACAGTCAAAGGCTTTGGCATAGTCAATAAAGCAAAGTAGATGTTTTTTCTGAAACTCTCTTGCTTTTTCGATGATCCAGCGGATGTTGGCAATTTGATTTCTGGTTCCTCTGCCTTTTCTAAATCCAATGTGAACATCTGGAAGTTCACAGTTCACGTATTGCTGAAGCCTGGCTTGGAGAATTTTGAGCATTACTTTACTAGCGTGTGAGATGAGTGCAATTATGTGGTAGTTTGAACATTCTTTGGCATTGCCTTTCTTTGGGGTTGGAATGAAAACTGACCTTTTCCAGTCCTGTGGCCACTGCTGAGTTTTCCAAATTTGCTGGCATATTGAGTGCAGCACTTTCACAGCATCATGTTTCAGGATTTGAAATAGCTCAACTGGAATTCCATCACCTCCACTAGCTTTGTTCGTAGTGATGCTTCCTAAGGCCCACTTGACTTCATATTCCAGGATGTCTGGCTCTAGGTGAGTGTGAGTGATCACACCATCATGATTATCTGGGTCATGAAGATCTTTTTTTGTACAGTTCTTCTGTGTATTCTTGCCACTTCTTAATATCTTCTGCTTCTGTTAGGTCCATACCATTTCTGTCCTTTATTGAGCCCATCTGTGCATGAAATGTTCCCTTGATATCTCTGATTTTCTTGAAGAGATCTCTAGTTTTCCCCATTCTATTGTTTTCCTCTATTTCTTTGCACTGATTGCTGAGGAAGGCTTTCTTATCTCTCCTTGCTATTCTTTGGAACTCTGCATTCAAATGGGTATACCTTTCCTTTTCTCCTTTGCTTTTCACTTCTCTTCTTCTCACAACTATTTGTAAGGCCGCCTCAGACAGCCGTTTTGCTTTTTTGCATTTCTTTTTCTGAGCCCAAATTCAATCCTTGGTCAGGAGACTAATATCTTGGAAGCTTCACAGCACGACTAACAACAGAAAAGATGTTTATTCAAGGTGGTTCATTGCAGCAGGCTAGGAAATTATAGACTTACGGAGCTGTGTAAAGAATAGGGAGGTTCTTTGGATACTTCTACTAGAACATCTGCAAGTTAAATTAAGTGAAAAAATCAAAATGCAGAGAGTATGCATAGTATGATCTTATTTATATTAAAAAAATGGAAGTCTGTGGTTTTTTTTGTGCATAAAGTATCTTTTTTATTGAAAAATACAGAGGAAATGGGTAACATTGGTTGCAAGTAGATGGAATTTGAATGCTTAGGAGATAGTGGAGGGAAGAAAAATTTTCACTGCCTTAGGGTTTTATATATGTGTATATGTTTTTGTCATATGTATAGGTATATATATTATAATTTCAAATTAAATGTTAATTTTTAATTAAAAAATTTTAACTAAATATAACCAGCCATCTAAGCTTGTTGAGCAAAAGCCATGTCAGTGAGGTCTTGCTCTTTGTTGATATTTATAATGTGCTGCCTTATGGCTCTGATGTTTGTGACTTACCAGAGTATGCTTCTTGAAAGTTAGTGTTTTTTGCATCTTTATATACATACTTATAGTGTCCATAGCCGAGTGCTTTTTACGTACTTGAAATTGATATGTTGATTTAATTCTATTTATTAACAGTGCAAGACTGCCTTGTACTTGTGGAATTTTACATTATTTCATTTGATCCTCAGAACTGCCTGTGGAGTGGACTTTTATTTGCGTGGGACATTTTTTTGTGTTTTCAAATAAGAATGTGTAATTTTGGCTAAATATTCTAATTTAAAGTAATTTATTGCATGTGTTTGTAAGTTACTCTGTGATAACATAATGTGTTTATTGAGTATGGGATTAGAGGAGATGATCCGATAGGTCCTTTTCACCTCTGTGTAGAAGTATAGTTGAATGAATGAATACATGTTAGTAGTACAAGAGGATCAAGGCGAATATTTGCTTTATGCATTTTCGGTTCCTTTTTAAAATGATCTCCCACCTCCAAAAGACACCTGACTTCACTGATCAGGTCATCCATGTTATTAAACTAAATTATATTAAACTATTAATTACTGGTTATTAATGCCAGTGGCATTTTAATTAACACCACTGTTTTATAGGGCTGTTTTCAAACAGTCTAGTTTGTCAAACAAATCCATTTGACTAGATGAATAAAAAATTTGTACATTACCTCATGCTTTTTCTTTGTGTTTCCTCCTATTCCTTTGGTTCGTCTGATTATTATTTTTTTCATTTAGCACAGTGCTTTGGTATTTTTTTTCAGATGTTGAATCTGAAACTGTTGTCAGTGTCTTTTAATGGCAGTGTGTATAGGGTGAATAGTAAGGAAACAGAGGAGTTACAGAGATATAGCCACCTAAAGTAAAAGGTCCAGAACTTCTTTTCATTATGTTTTGTAGTCAGGAAATAATGAAGAACAAAGGCTTAATGCAGTGAGTGAATGAATGTACTGCCCTTAATTGCCAATTTTAAAAGCTGGAAACTCTTGTCTATTTTCCATATAGGAAAAAAATGTGAATTTATCTCCATTTACATCCATTGAATTTGCATGTGATATTCTTCTGCTTGGTTCTGCCAGTGAGTTAACTCCATGTTCCTCCCCACAGGGTGGAGAATGCTTGCACCAAACTTGTCCAAGCGGCCCAGATGCTTCAGTCAGACCCTTACTCAGTGCCTGCTCGAGATTATCTAATTGATGGGTCAAGAGGCATCCTCTCTGGCACATCAGACTTGCTCCTCACATTCGACGAGGCTGAGGTAAGGCACCCCGAGGCCCAAGCACACCTCTTCCTGACAAAAAGCCCAGTCATAATGATAATAATGGAGGATTGAGGATTGTTTAGGATGAGAAAACGTTGACTAGCTACACATCTGAATCACTGTGTTTTCTACTTATTGTTAACACAATTGATTGAATACTCTGAAATATATTTTCAGGTTCGTAAAATTATTAGAGTTTGCAAAGGAATTTTGGAATATCTTACAGTGGCTGAGGTGGTAGAAACTATGGAAGATTTGGTCACTTACACGAAGAATCTTGGACCAGGTTAGTCATATGCTACTTTTATAATAAAATGTTCTATGAATTGTCCTTGGTTGATCAAGAGGAAAGGGGCACTCCTCCCTGCTTTTTTTGTGGAAGGTAGGTAATGATGCTTTGGATTTTTAGTTGTCTCTGCTCTCTTGATGGAGCTGACTCTGTGCTTCTACTGAAGAGAAATCATTGTCTCTGAAAGCTGAATTTGCTTTCTGCAAATCCTGGCCCTGTCTAATGAACTGAACTAGACATTGCAAATGTTGCTGGAGAATGTAGGAAATACTTTTCTATTACTGCAATGCTTAAGGCTACCCTGAATCCTGACCTCTTCATTCCACATTATACAGCATTCCTTCACTGTCTACCAGCTGGTCTGAGCTCTCTGTGACCTCTTAGCTTTCTAATTAGCCCGCCTGCTATTATGAATTCATGCCCTTGCCCAAGACTGCATAATATAATCAGACCTGGAAGGAGAGAAGAGCTTCTGCAGCTAAATCTCTGATTGTGTAGTCATCTGAGAATTAAATATTCAAAATACATGAACAGATATCAGCTTTTGGTGTTATAGATATATAACATGAACTTGAGGCTCCTTAAAGTATAAATGAGACTAATGATGAGACATATTAGATGTTTAATTTGTTAGTATTAAGGATCACATATCATTTTATAAAATTCTTTTTTCTTACATAGAATGATATTTAATTAATAGTATTTTCTGGAGGTTCCAGTGCAGTCATTCTGTAAACTTAACGGCAGTTAAGAATTTCTCTGAGCTATCATTGAAAATCACTGAGAAATGGCTTTAGAGAAGTACCCTTTAAACTTGTTCCTAGCACTATGAAGAAATCTTATTTCTTCAGATGAAATCTAATGCAAAATCTCAACATATAAAAGACAAAAATGGAGCCAGTGTGGATCAAGCAGGGGTATCCCCACCTTTCTATCTCCTTTTGGTGGGTACCCCTTGAGAATCTGTGAAACTACTTAAGAAATTCTAAGAGCAGTTTGAAAATCAAAGTAGTATAGACTCACATAACACCCTTGAATAATAACCAAAGTAAACAAAAATTTCTAGCAGGCTAACTCTGAAATATCAGATTGTTTCAAATGCTGTCATCACCATAATTACATCTATAACATTTTTTTGTTTGTTTTTAATTATGAAAGTGTGACCCCTCCTTATTTTGGGAAAATTGGAAAGTAGAGAAAAATTTAAAGACGAAAACAAAACATGTTATTATAACTCTTAAGACTTTTTTCAGCTGCTAGATTCTCAGTACAGATACACCTCATTTTATTGTGCTTCACTTTCTTGTGTTTCACACATACTACATTCTTACAAATTGAAGGTGTATGGCAACCCTATCTCAAGCAAGTTATTTGGCGCCATTTTTCTATTTCATGTCTCTGTGTCATATTTTAATAATTCTCACAATATTTAACTTTTTTTCATAATTATTATATTAGTTATGGTGACCTGTGGTCACTAATATTTGACGTTACTGTTGAAAAGATCATGATTCATTGAAAGCTTAGGTGATAGTTGGCATTTTTTTTTTAGCAATAAAGTATTTTTAAATTAGGGTATGTACATTGTGTTTTTAGACAGTGTTATTACATTCTTAATAGACTATAGTATAGTGGAGATATAACTTTTCTATTCCCTGGGAAACCCAAACATTCCTGTGACTCACTTTATTGTGATATTCACTTTGTTGCAGTGGTTTGGAACTGAATCCACAGTATCTTTGAGGCATGCCTGTAGTAGGCTCACATGAGGTTCTTATACATATAGGCTCAGTGGCCAGGTACATGACATGAAAACTGGTATGGAAGCCAAGCAAGGTATTCTCCTGCTCATCACTTGTGAATTGTTTTTTTTTCAAATATATATTTATTAATTTCAGTAGTTTAAACATATTTGTGAATGTATGTCAAATGTGTGAAAATTATGTCACATTTAGGGTTTATATTTATTCAGTTAATTTCAATGAGAAGAATACATTTGCCTTAAGTTAGAACTGTTCTGTAAAATTCAATGTCATAAATGATAGAGTTCAGTGATAGTATGTATGTTTAAATAAGTGGGCAATTTGGACTTTCGTAGTAATTCATAGTGGATATAGGCTCAGAAAGCCTGACTCTGGGTTGTTTCACTGCTCACCCTGTACAATTTATTCCCTGTGCCCCAGGAATGACTAAGATGGCCAAGATGATTGATGAGAGGCAGCAGGAACTGACTCACCAGGAGCATCGAGTGATGTTGGTGAATTCAATGAACACTGTGAAGGAGTTGCTGCCAGTTCTCATTTCAGGTATTTTCTGTCTGTACTTTATCTTACAGAGGAAAAAAAAAAAAAGTGTTTATATGTTCTAAACTCTGGTGTTCATTTTCTTTTCTGTTTAGTTGCATGTCCTTCAGCCTGGGTAAAAATGCAGCTGGTTAGCTAAGAGCCGGGATTCATTTTCTTTAATGCTCTCCTCCTGCTCTTTGTGTGACACTGCCCTTCTATTGCCTACTACTGTTCTCTTCAAGTTCTAACAGGCTCCTGTTCTTCTCTAGGCGCTCTAGTTTTGGAAGTATGGATCTTGACCCCTTTATTTGTACTTGGGAAAAAATTAGGAGCTGGAATAGATCTAGAACACTACATAGTAGAGAAGTGAGTCCACAACCCTTTCCTAGTTCTTCTCTATGTTGAAGGAGCTGATGGTCTATACCAACTAGGATCACCTTGCCTTTGGTGCAGAGCCCAGAAATGCAAACATGACGGCTGCTCTTTCACTTAGCAAAAGAGAATTGTGCTTATTAAGAGTCTAGTATGTATCAGATATCTCTAGTATATATCACATATCTCGTGGTTTATGTAAATTTTCTTAGTCAAGTTATGTGTTAGTTGGTTTAACTCTTAAGAGGGTTTCTTTATTTTCAAAATCTTTTAAGGCATGTCACTGTAACCCCCCAGCTACTGCCTTCCTGCTTTGTCATTTTTCATGTAGTGACTAAAATAGGAGATGTGAGTGTAAGAGTTCAGAAAGCCCTTATATAAACTAGAAAATAAAAAATTGTAAATAGAGTCTTAAAGTCTTCTCAAAAATATGTTTTTTGAGGCCAACTCTTCTATGTGGCAGAAAGGCTGTTGGGAAAAATCTTTCTTTCTAATTTGGGTAACTCAATAAAATGTTGATTAATCTTTGTTTTTATAATTTTATTAGTTTATGAGAAGATATTTTCTTTCCCAATGTTTCGTTATTATTTTCTTCTTTACTTGTAGGGATTAGATAGTCCTTCCTATATGTTAAGAGAAATCATGGAAGATGAACTCAACCCTGGGATCTTCCACTGGGATTGAGGCAGCAGCATACTTTGGTTACAGTTACTGACTGTTTTTGTCTTGTCCCATTAGGTTTGTGTTAGATGGGACCAGTGTTGGGCCTGGGATGTGACTCGGGATCTTCAGTGCATGCATGTTAAGTTAGTTCCCTGATGATGATGTGGTGATGCTCTTGTATCTTCAGTTTTCTTTACAGTGAAGGTTGCTGATATTGGAATTTCAGCAATTGGATAAAGACTTGCAGTGTTTATTTTCATATTCTTTTTAAGACCTTAGAAGCCCAAAACATGTTAAAAGTGTGAAGCATCTTGTGTGACTATTGTAATATAGCAAGATTACATTCCAAACTTAGTTTCTGATCTTTTGTTTATTGTTACAGCTATGAAGATTTTTGTAACAACTAAAAACTCCAAAAACCAAGGAATTGAAGAAGCTTTGAAAAATCGCAATTTTACTGTAGAAAAGATGAGCGCTGAAATTAATGAGATCATTCGTGTATTACAACTCACTTCCTGGGACGAAGATGCCTGGGCCAGCAAGGTAGGTGTTATTGGGGAAGAAATAAGCAAAATCCCCAATTCTCCCCTCTTGGGGGTGTGATTGTCTCACATTTTATCTTGTAATTTCGTGCAGCATTAGACTACTTAGATATTATGAAAGTAATTTCTTCTTTATTTTTATTTCATGAATTACTTGCTGCTTTTGCACTTTTCCTTTGTTTTCAGGTAGAACAAATAAATAGGTATGTGGGGTGAATGTTGGTTGAAAGCTGAGATGTGTAGCTTTTCTGTCAAACCGGAGTCTCATTTATTGAGTTGGTGGAGGAGTTCTGCTGTGGTGTATACTCCCCTGGGTAGGAGCCCTGCCTTTCACGTGGGTGGTTGTTGCTAGGTTACTAAGTAAGATAAAGAATATGCCTAAGGCTGAATTTTGTGGAAAACTTTTCTTAATCAGCTTTTGACCCAGAGAAATCTACAAAAGAAAATGTAGGCATTTCTAGGTGTGTCCCTTTATCATTCCATTTTCCCTAAAGAAAGCTTCACTGAAATATTAGTTTTCACATTGTCTGTTAGTTTGAGGGGTCCCTTTCCCCTTGGTGTTTAATTTCCTGTTGGACTCCACAAGGGCTGGTGGATTCCTCCTGGACCCCAGCAGCAGGGGTTTGAGGTGCTGCTGCTCTGGTCTGCTTCTCCATGTTTAGTGATCGGAAACAGAGACACTTCTGTTATCGGAGCCCAAGATGCAGGCAGTGGGGGAACCCACTGTCTCTAGGACCCAGCTTCCCCTACTGTGTGGGCCCAAATGTTATCTCCAGGGCCACCCAGCAGGCTGGTAGCAGACTGCAGAGGGGATTTTGTTGTATGATTTCCACTGGGTGTCCAGTAGGGCTCTCTTTGTCCTCTAGGACACCTAAAAGTTAAGGTTGAAGCTCCTAAAATGACCAATTCTGTCTCTTTTGTTGCCCAGGAAGTTAAACTAAATGTGTAGGAGAAATTAGTTAGATTATCTTAACCATGGATTTGTTTTCAGAGGCATGAAATTATTGAACAAGTCCTGAGACTATATTTTAAACCCATATGGTAAAATCATATAAAGTCTTTGATATTTTACTTAATTTTGCTTTTGCATGTTTGACAACTTTCACTTCCCTGTTATGACTTCTTTATGCATCTTCTTTTTGTTCTCTTGTTTGTTTTACTCTTTTTCTCACGTTTAGAAGGTAAGCTTTCTCTTGCCCTCTAGTTTCTTTCTTGCTTATAAAGAGAAAAAGCATGTCTGTGAGGTTTTCTTGTGCTGTGTGCCATGCCTTATTCCGTGTGCCGGTGTGTAACACTGTGCTCGATTATGCGTCAGAATGTGACTTAATATGGGACTTGGGGCTGTGCTGGGCAGACTATTTAGCTCAAAAGGAGCTGTTTTTTGGGGGGAAGCAAGAGGAAAGACATTAATATGGGATGTCAGGCTTTCTATGTTTGGTGGGTGCTTTCCTCTCTTTGGGGACTTCCCCGGTGGCTCAGTGGTAAAGGATCCCTCTACCAGTTCAGGAGATGTGGGTTCAGTCCCTGGGTTGGGAAGATCTCCTGGGGAAGGAAATGGCAATCCACTCCAATATTCTTGCCTGGGAAATGTCATGGACAGAGGAGCCTGGTAGGCCATAATCCATGGGGTCACAAAGAGTTGGACACGACTGAGCAACTAAACAATTCCTCTCGTTGAGCAGGCTCCTGGGAACTGCTTTGACCTGGTCATTCCCATTGACTTCTTTTGAGGGGCAGATTTCCCCATGTGGGTGACCCCTAAGTTATCTGTGGATCCTGCTCTTAGCAAAGGAAACTTCCAGCTGATGCTATCTCTGTATTTGTCTCTCGTGCCAGTTTCCTTTGCAGGCTCTGAAATTTGGCTTTTGGAGATGGCATCATTGAGGTTTTAAGCCATAATGAAAATAGGTAGGCTAGAGAGTCTTAATGAGGCATCTGTCCTTCACAGTAATCCAAGCCTGCAGAATCAAAAGGAAAAAGTCAGGTGTACCTCAAGTTTTTCCTAACTTCAGTCCCTGGCTCACTGCATGTTCTGCTGTCTGAGCTGTGAATCGGCCATCGTTCCCCATGACCTCATGTTCCCCTAACCTAATCTCTTTCCTTATTCTCTCCCCTTTGCTTCTAGCAGATGAGAAATAGTAAAAAATGAGGAGCAGGCACTGCAACCATCATGTTTCTATTTTCAGAGGGGAAAAGTCATCCATCAACTAGTAAATAAGTCACTGAGCTTTACATTGTGAAGGTCTGAGAGCTGCTTCTTTAAAGACCAAAACCAAAACTGTGGTCAGTTGAGGTTTTCAGGAGGAAGATTAGGCACTTGGGGGCATATACAAGGGACATAGACCTGGTTCACACTGTGTACAGTCTAATAGCCATCTCAGTTTTATGCTGACCTAGAAGGAATCAGACTGATAGGATACTGTAAAACTATCAGAATAAAAGGAAATAAATAAAATTAACTCAGCCAAAAGAAGCTTAAGTACAAAATGACATCAAAATGAGCAATGAATATTTATTTTTTAACTTCCTTTTGCTTTTGTTATACATTTACCTGATTCAAAAATCAAAATGCTATAAAAAGATATATATGACATAGCTAACTCTCATTCCAATCCCTTTCCACTCTATCTCCCTTACCCCCTAAGAGTAATTGTTTTTATTAATTGCAAGAATATGTAGAAAAAAATTTTACCCTGAAAATGGAAATCGGTAACTAGGGTTTTAGTTATTTTTCAGTTCAGTAGCGTTATGCATCTTTCATTGCTCACCTGTAAGCAGTGAATTAATCAGACCCTGTGTCTGTCTGTGACCCCTGGGCTCCCATTCTGTTTAATACATGCAATATTTTTACCTCCTCTCACCCCCTACCAATAAAGAATTAACTTTGTCTTACCATACTTGTTTCATGCCTCCCTATTGGTGCAGTTTTCTCCTGGAAAGTGATGATTCCTCTAGAAAAGTGGGGGAAGAAAGTAAGTGGAAAAAATTCTTGGTAAAAGTGCGTCTTGCCAAATAAATTAAGATTTTAAAGAGGCAATGCAATAGCTGACTATTTTATGTTTTATACCTACATTCAGATGGCAGATTTACAAATTTAAAAGTACTTTGACTTTAAACCCTTCCTTTTATTTTGAAAATAAAAAATTTCTCCTCCTTAAATCAACAATCATAATGATTATTAAAAACTAGTTTAGCATTTTTCCTGAGAATACACTATGAGACAAAAAAATGTAGAGATTAAACAGAATTGATATTTTACCCTTTGTAGATTTAGCAATATATATTAATCTTTTTTTGGTGTTTATATTACTTGTATTTTGATGCATGTTGAGAATAAAAAGGAAGTGAGAAAAATTTTAAAAACGTTTCATTACTGAGAATTTTTGAACCCTATGAGGTGTTCCTGTAACTGCACCCTGAGTCAGTTATTCAGAATTTGTCCCTGTGGTGTATCTCCTCCCACTGTAGGCCTAGGTTGGTGGTGGGTAAATGTAGTGAGTGACTCAGATGTCTTTGTGCAGATTAGAGTACCAAAGAAGGAAATACCGCTTAGAACATGTGCTCCTATAATACTTTTCCTTGCTGCAGACCATTGGGGTTTAAGTGTTGATTTTTATTTCAATTTTGAAAAAATAAGGTTATATATGAGCTTTTTATGAGTCTTCTAATGTGATGCAATATTAGTATTCTAGTATGTAGCTAACACAACAAAGGATTTATCTCTTACAGTCTGAGATAAATAGTTAATTTAAGCGTTTATGTATCTTACCCTCTCCCCCAACCAAAGGAGAAAAGCCCACCGTGTTAAATTGACATTTCCCTTCTGATCCAAGTGCTCTTTTAGTTGATACAACTGATTGTGTGCACATAGGTGGTGCAGAATTGTAGTGCTGAGAAGGTATTCTTAGAGATGAGGAACTGATGCCTCGGAGGTTGCCTGGAGGTTCAGGGCTAGACAACTTTCTCTCCATGGTTAAATGTAGTTTACAAGATTTTGTGTTACTGCCCAATTTAACTTTCCAAAAACATCTTTGTTTAAAATATGGATTTGGAGTTAGAAATGTGGTCAGAAATGGAATGGAGTGGGAAGGGTGGGGACAGGAGGTGTTAGTGGAAAAAGGAGAGTAGGTTGGGCAGTGAATGAGAGGGGGGTCCTTAGTCCCATATTTGAAATTTTCAAGAGCATGGGATTGCAGGAACTCACTTTCCCTGCCACACTTCCTCTTGACTGTTTGTGGGAGGAACTCAGTGGTTCTTGGTATTAATATTATTCAGTGTTCTTTAGGTCTAACTCTGTATTACATTTCAGAAGTGTTTCAGTTCCTGGAAAAGCATGGAAAAAGAAGTCTTTTAGGTTGTCCTTCTGACTTACAGTATGTGTGGCAGAGTTTCAAGGAGCTGTGTTTCTTTTCATTTAAAACCTGAACTCCTGACAGTTTTACAATAAAAGGAACCAGAGCAGGAGGGGCCAGAACCCTGCCAGCTGTCCCCAGAGCTGCACAACTATATCTGCTCCTTTTTATATTCACTTAAAAAACAAACAAACAAGCCCAACAACAACAACAAACAGAGAAGAGGTTGGTGAAGACTTGCCTCTTTCCCAAATTTGAGATATTATAGAGAAAAGTACTTAGTGAAGGTGCAGTTTTTTTCTCTTCTATTTCATATCCAGAGTGTACTCTGGGTACTTAGACCTACATGGCAAGGTTTAACTAAAAGCTCTGTGGTACATAATGTAGTTGGCTGCAGAGTTATGGTTATTTTCATCCTTTATAAATATCTCAAAATTGCTTCTTAGTCCTAGTTGAATTTGTTTATAGTATATCTAGTGTTAGTATACTTCTATTGTTGCTTATGTCAGAATTCTGTTACTTCCATAATAAACACTCCCCTTCAAAAGAAATTCTTAAGACATTCTTAGGACACCAAAATGTTTGTTCCTATGGACATTTTTGCTTTTAATGTGGTTGGTCAAAAAGTTTGTTGGGTACTCGAACAAACTTTTTGGTCACCCCAATAGATATGACATTTAAATGTATTGTGTTTAAATGGCTATTTACAACTCGTCTTATTCCAGAAAGAATTTAATCTGGCCCTCCCAGTGACTGTTTTAAATCTCCAAAATTGTCTAAAATTTATTCTGTTAAAAGTTTTACTAACTAATTGACTTTCCCAGTTTAAAAATGCATCTTCATTGCATATTTGCCATTGATTCTTTTTAGGAGAAAATGATAGTAATTATAAGAAGTAATGTTAACTTCTTCATATTGTCACGTCTCCTCAGGACCAAATTAGTCACATCCTTATAGTCAGATTCTTTCCTTGAAGTGTGGTAGCCATCCTTTATTAGTGAGAGAAAAAACAGTGACTTTTGAGAATACTGAATGCTGGGCAAAACTGGTTTTTCTATTGGGTTTCAAATCATTTTTGGGCAGTGGTGCGTAAAAGCAGTTATTTAGGTTAGTAAGAATTATGAATTTGATTTATAGAGCTAATTTTCTGGGCAGTGGCAGTATTAACCAATCCAAAATTGGCAAAGCAAAAGATTTGCTGACTACCGTAAAAGGTTAGTGGAATCTTTGACAACTATCTTTGGTAAAAGAAAAAAAATTCTTGAATTTCATCTAACAGAAAATAATGAGATTTGAGATCAAATGGGGCTTCTAGGACTGAGCCCCTTAACTTAAAATAGAAGTTAAATGAAGCAGTGAGGGAAAAAATGGTTAATGTAGAACCTAACATGCAAGAAATGCTCAATTAAGGTTAGTTTCCTAACTAATAGCTATTAATGCTAGAGTAGACCCTAGAAAATTTCTGATCTTTGTTTCCTCTTAAATTTAGATTTTGAAATATAATAAATATCTATTGAATTTTTCACTGAATATATATGTATATTAGAGAAATGGTTATTAAGAGATTTTAAACTAAGTATTTTTACATGACTTCAGTTTTTCCTCTTCAGCATGTGCACAGTATTTCCTAGGTGAGAGATTGTGAATTTTAAAAAAATCTGTATCTAGACAAAGTCCTATAACTTGTATTAGACCCTGAAGGCTATCCAGCTCTGAGGTTGGGTATTGCCTGAGACTTTCTTTAAAACAATATTAATTTGGGCCTTGCTAATTTGGAATTAAAGTTGACTTTTGAAGGCAAGGTTTGCTGTACAGAGTGATTAGAACAAGATGGAGGAGGAACAAATATTTGAGAGTCAAAGCACTTAAATGCCACGTGTCTACTTGCACTAAATACAAATGGATTTTAAAATAGATCCTCCTACGACTCAGTCTTTTGTTGATAGCTATCATAATTTCATACATCTCAATAATAAAAATATTTTATTTCCATTTTTTCAGTAATTTAGTTTACTTCTTTTTAGTTGCTGTGGATGAGAATTTGTTATTTAGAGCCTGAGGTAGACAAGTTTATAACAGGAGAATGGTCTGTATCTCTTTAGATGGGGAAAGAGGGAATCCAAAGCTGAGAGTTCTGTAATTTGACTGAGTACTTTGGAAAAGCTGGAGTCAGGCTGCTGAAATCCTAAGCCTAATTAATGAATGCTCCCTATACTTATTGGTGCTAGTGCTGGGTTTTGTTTGCATTTAAAGTTGGGATGCTCCTAGTGCCCCCAAGTGGAAAACTGATGGCACCACACCTTTAAGAACCCCAATTTACAACAGTGGAAATTGAAAAAAGGTGGGGATTTAAGACATTCCCTAGAGTTCAGAGGGTAACTGTACTTTGATGGATGGACTCTGTAACAGCCAGTTCCCTGAGTATTAACAAAAGAGAGAGAGACTGACTTTTAAGGTGTTAGAGACTTAAGAGATGGCCAGTCGTTCAGTTGTGAGAATGGGTTCATACATATTTGTTATATTGTCTTCTGTGTTTTTATTTGCTTAAAAGACCCTATTACAATATGTGTATATTTTAAAGGCGATTAGTCTGTTCAGACTTCTCATGGTATATCCTGGGAGGTTTTATGCTAGTCACTATGAATCCTGATTGTAAACAATAGATTGTGACCCCCTTATTCTATTCTGCCTCTTCTTCCAGGTTAGGGATGGTAAGGGAACTAAGGATGAGGAGTGGCAGAGAAGGCTGAATGTATTTCTTTCCTGTGATACATTCAGTAGTTTATTTGTGGAATTAAAACTGAATTGCTAGATTAAAATTTTCAGTTTTCTTCTAACCAGTAATTTCAGGTTCCTCGGGTTAATTAAACATAGTGAAATATCATCCAGTGTGTATATTTCAAAACAAGATGTAAGAGAAACTGTGATTTGTGGCACCACATCCTAATGAGGCTTCTCTGAAGCCAGGAAGGCTTTGGCAGGGCTGCAGTATCTGAATGTTGACTAGTAGAAAGGCTGATAATGAGGCATGTGACAAAAGGGCTTTTTCCTGCTGACGATATTAAACTGCTTTGACTTGAGCAGTTTTACCAGTTTTCATAGTTAAGCAATAGGGAGACCAGAAAATAGAATTAACTGAAGATTTGCATGCAAGATGTTGCATTCTGACAGAAATAAGCATTATGGTGTGATGAGAATATTTTTAAGGCTGTTGTAGGACTACTGTAGCTATTGTATGTTAATGGTGTAACTTCTTCTCTGTCTTACTTTGTATCATGGTATCTCAGTTTTTGCAAAGAAAATAATTGATACTTTTCTTCAAAAGGACACTGAAGCCATGAAGAGAGCATTGGCCTCCATAGACTCCAAACTGAACCAGGCTAAAGGTTGGCTCCGTGATCCCAGTGCCTCCCCAGGTAACCCTCTGGTTTTACTTTTCTGATAGATACATCAAAAAGCTAAAACCAGGCAAAAAGAAAATGAAAAAAAAGAAAGAATTTATTCCATAATCTCATAATTCTGAGATAACTACTGCAATATTTAGGGGCATATGTGATTCTCTGATAGTTTTGACTAATTGAAGCATTTCTGGTCCTTAAAAGGATGAAGGGAATGAATTAATAACCTCTCATCACAGAGGAATAAACCAAAGTGAACTGGGCATTCTTTGCCAGATTATTGGTTCACCCTTTCCCTGAATCAGAAAGGTAATTATTTTGAATAAAAGCTCTTCTCTTCTAGTTCCCATTGGGCAGATTTCCATTTATGCCAACAGAATACTTAATTAAGCAGATGAAATGATGATGCTAATAAGAATTGGGAAGCAAAGTTGACTTGTATAAAGATAAGACCCAAGTAGGTTATTGAGCTAGGCTTTATGGATTTCCTAATCTAATATTTATTCAGTTTTAGATTAATATTTGAATGAATGTATAAAGCCTAATAGAGTTTGGAGGTGTTAAGTACTATTAAATTGTTAGAGCCTACTTTCATCTCATCCATATGCTTACCACAAGCTGCTTATTATCTCCAGCTGTTTATGGTTCCAAGGATCTTTTTCAGCAGTCTTTGTGGTTGAAACCTCACCCTACGGTTTAAGGGCACTGCTTGGCTGTTGACTATCAGATGTATTGCCTTCTACTCACTAGTCATTTAAAATCATCCTTTCCTTCATGAATGGAATGACTTGTAAAGCATCCTCTCTAAATAATTAATAGATCTATAATGTAGATACTGAATCTCTCTCTCTTTTTTTTTCTTCTGGCTGCCCCTGACTTTTGGGATCTCAGTTCCCCAGCCAGGGATTGAACTCAGGCCAAGGCAGTGAAATCCCAACATCCTAACCACTAGGCTCTCAGGGCACTCCCTTGAATATCTCTTTATTTTAGGTGATGCTGGTGAACAGGCCATCAGGCAGATCTTAGATGAAGCTGGAAAAGTTGGTGAACTCTGTGCAGGCAAAGAACGCAGGGAGATCCTGGGAACTTGCAAAATGCTGGGGCAGATGACTGACCAAGTGGCTGACCTCCGAGCCAGGTAAAGTTCCTCTGCTCTCACCAGAGCACTGGTGCTAACAATTGGGATCTTGCTTCTGATGGAGTGATTCAGAAGCAAGTTTCTGTGAATTTTACTGAGTTCTCTTTGGCTAATAGATAACAGAGGTATTATATTCTATGAATTCTTTGGGATTGGAGTGAATTTTCCTTTTGATGAACTTTTAAAATATGTAGATGCCTTGTAGTGAAGTTGAAGTTGAAATAGAAATATGTTTTTTTAGTTTCTAGTCATAGGCTTATGAAAAACAAGGTATAGCGGATAGATATCTTTTATGAAGGATGATGGCGAGAATAAGAAACATAAATTGGAATGATTTCACATGCCATTTAAAAAAATCAGTTAAATAGATTATCCTCTGTGTTGGTCATATCTGGGCTCTGTTTTGGGGTTGCAAAGAGTCGGACACGACTGAGCGACTGAACTGATCTGAGTTTCTATTTGATCATTATTCGTTTAGTTTTATAGTTCTTTTATCTATCTCTTAGCCACTTCAAGTTTTGGCTTTTAGAATCTACCTCCATTCCCCCAAACTATATAGAGTTTGCTAATAAGAAAACTCAGTATAATAGGTTTGTTTTGAACTCATACATATAGTTAATGAAGTTCTAAAAGACCTTCAATTTTTATGAAATTTTATACTATGGATATTGAGAAAATTGAGGTATAGATAAAGTTTAATTTTGCTTCTAGATTGTCATGACACATCTCGAGGTAATTGGAATATAGAATCTCCCTACAAACTAAGACCTCAGGAACACTCCTTGATGTGTTGCACACCATTACACATGGCCTCAAACGTATTAACATAATGGAATTCAGAATATAGTTCTTTTTTTTCTTTGGCCATGCCGTGTGGCATGTGGGATCTTCGTTTCTCAATCAGGGATTGAACCTGTGTCCCCTGCATTACAGAGTGTTAAACACTGGACGACCAGGGAAGTCCTAAATACAGCTCTTAAGGATTGGTTCCTAACCTGTTTTGGACCAAGGTCATTTTTATAATTTGATGAAAACTATTAATCTCTACCTAAAAAAGATGCATATAAACATGCTTATACAATATCATGTGTAATTTCCTGAAGTTCATGGATTCACTGTAGCCCTGGAAGCTCCATGGGCTTCAGGGTAAGAGTCTTTACCTTGAAGGAGAGAAGAAACTGCATAAATAAATGTGATCTCATTGAGTGCAGTGGGCCTTTTCTCCTGCTGTGAAGCAGTCTCCTCTGTCATGAGCCTGACAGGAACTTTACAGAAAGGACAAAAAGAAGTTCTGTTCCCATTCGGAGAAATGCCAATGCCATTTTGACAAGATTCTTGGCTCTTCTAATTTCTCACTGCTGCTTCTTTTGTCTGCAGCCTTTTCACAGTGTGGTAGACAGCTTTCAGTTGGAATTCTCAAGTATACAGTTGTATGTATTTAGAGAAAGATGAATCTGAACAAGAGAACGAGGTAGTTACTGTACAGGATTGACCATAAATCTAAAGAGAAAAGGTTGAAGCAGTGAGGAGCCCAGTGAGTCTGCTTCACACTGGCGCCTGCAATCTCCTTTCACAATGAAAGATTGCAAAGCTGTCTCCCTATTATCCTTTTTTAGATATGCCTAACTTTCTAACAGTTTAGCGGCTGAAACTCAGTAAGTTTCCTCTTTGGTATTCTTTTATTCAGTAACCTAGGATTGTAAATGTATATTTTCCTCTCCATGGGACTCAATAAACTTTTTCTTTTGAATGAAAAATTATGTAGCCCATAAATATTTTTACTTTTTTACAGTTTACTTTTTCACACTTTTACACAAGCAAGGTTCCTCATCATGAATTATTAGATTTGAAAGAAAAAAGCAAGTTAAAACATAAAAAGCAAAAAAAAAAAAAAGAAAACAAACATAAAAAGTATCTTTCCAAAAGTCTCAGACTCCTGTGCCATAAAACGGAGATGTCAATCATAAGTAAAACATGTGTCTATATTTATATACAAATATTATTGGCAATAAATATTATTGAGTTTACTACCTCAAATAATGGTATACATGAGAAACATAAGTTTAAAAAGAGATTAGATAGATGAATGATAAGTCCATAATCCATACTATCATTAAAGGAAGCAAAGATTTTTGGAGGTTATCCTAAAATCAGAAGCTCAGGTTATGATCAGCCATGCTATTGGACCAAATGATGGAGTTGTCACTCGCTATCGTTGAATTTACCAGGCTGGGTGGACTAAAAAATATGAATCTAAAAAGATGGCATATCTTACTTTCTTATGACTTGGGGAGTCTCTTACAAAGAGAAAACAAGTTTCCACTAACTCGCATCATTTTTGGAGTAGTAGAATACCACTTCTGAGAGAGGAAAATAAAGAAATTAGTTCTTTAGGAACTTGGTAAGAACTTGTCACTCCATGCCCTTTTCCCTCAGTACTAACTGCTTTTGATACTTACAGAATGCATAGGAATGGATATTTAAGATTACCAATAGGTTATGATAATGACAATTCTGTAGTAATAATAGTTATATATGTGTATTGGTTTATTGCCAAACTGTTTTCAACTATTTCTTTTTGTTTGGCACCACTCTGTTTGATAAGCAGGGAAAATATTATTACCTTCCCACTCTTCATTTTCTAAGTTAGAAAACTGAAGCCCAAAGAAGTTAAACATCATAAGGTTCCACAGGTACTGGAGCCAGGATTTGAACACAGATCTCCTTGGTCCTGGTGTGGTGTGCTTTCAGTAACACTATGCATCTGCCTCCTGAAACATTTTCAATGTATATTTGCCCATAAATAAGACAGTCTAATGGGCTGTTTATTTCTAAAGCATACCTATTGTGGTAACAAACCCTCTGTAGCAATAAGATCACAAGTGCATTTGCTCCTCTAAAGATTAGGTTTGGTTATGTAATCACCACCAAGAGGAAAATTATAATTATCAAAATTTGCAGGTCTGTCTTAAAGTGGTTATGCAGTTTCTTAAAGCTTCTGTATGATATTGTTTTTTGTTTTGTTTTGACCGTGCTGCACGACATACAGGGTCTTAATACTTTAACCAGGGATCGAACTCATGTTCGTTGCAGTGGAAACTCAGTCTTAACCACTGAAATGCCAAAAAAGTCCCTGCTACTGGTTTTAAGATGGTTTGGATGTTTTGCTTTGTTTCTCTCTGTTTCCTTGTGTTATCCAAGATTTAGTGGAAAAAAGGAAAAAGGACAAATATGTTAGCAAAATGATATACATTGTGCTTTCAGTATTATTTTGCCATTAAGATTTTGAGAGAGTACAACAGCAACACATCTGTCTGTAGGGGACAAGGAGCCTCACCAGTGGCCATGCAGAAAGCCCAGCAAGTGTCTCAGGGTCTGGATGTGCTCACAGCAAAAGTGGAAAATGCAGCCCGCAAGCTGGAAGCCATGACCAACTCAAAGCAGAGCATTGCAAAGAAGATCGATGCTGCTCAGGTAGCGATGGTGATTTTCAGGAGGGGTGGGAAATAAAAGACAAAGAGAAATGTTCCATAAATATCCTGTATCTCCTTCCCCCCAGTTTTCTGTGGCTGGATGATGGGTGTTTCTAAGTGATGACTGATTCCCAGCAGTTGTCATTGTTAACATGTTCCCTACTACCACAGGCTTAAGACTAATGTTTATCTATATTTTGAAATGGAGATCTTAATTTTGAATACTTCAGTTAGTTAAAAATAAGTGTTCTGAGTACCATTCTCCTAGTTCCTGATGGGGATTACAGTATGTTAAACCTGTTCTTCATCTTAGAATTTACAACTATATTTGATCATAGCAATGTTAAAGGGTTAAAAGTTTTTGATACTGCTCTACTGTAAAATGATTTTCAAGCATTTCATGAAGAAAAATGTTTAAGAAACTGAAGAATTAGTAACGTATGATTAATTCAAAGATAAGATAAAACTCATGAAGATATTTTATCCTGATGAGAATGAAGGAAGTCAGTTTTAAAAAGACGGATTGATTTGATTTTACTTTAGCAAGAACCAGTGTAAAATAATAAGGACTAGCATTATTGCTGATATGCCTTGTGATTATTTTTGAAATATTTCTGATGCCCTTGTTAAGTTGAATAAAATTGGTTCATGAGTAAATAACCGTGTGCTTATTTTTCATTTCTATGTGTGTAGAATTGGCTTGCAGATCCAAATGGTGGGCCAGAAGGAGAAGAACAGATTCGAGGGGCTTTGGCTGAAGCTCGGAAAATAGCAGAATTATGTGATGATCCTAAAGAGAGAGATGACATTCTGCGTTCTCTTGGAGAAATATCTGCTCTGACTTCTAAGTTAGCAGATCTACGAAGACAGTATGTATTTAATCAATTAAATTATGCTTTAACTCCTCCCTTTTCCCCCCTAAGCACATACCTAGTTGAATTTTATAGGTTAAATGCACATATGATGCTCTTCTATTGTATTCTCATTGATTCTGTGTGACGTGGTAAGGGCAGATGGTTTTAAATTAATTATTTAAGTTAGGATACTAAGAATACCTTTTTTGGGATCTGTTTTTTAAATTTCTTAGGACATTCTGCTACACTGTATTTGTGACTTTTCTGTTTCCCAGGCATATGAGGAAAGTAACTTGTGGTTAGCTGTGAAAAGATAGGTGTGTGTGGGGTGGGATTGAGGAGACATAAGAAAATATTTTCTTCCTTCCTAAGCAGTGTATTTTTTATGTAGTAATTATAAAAGATCCTTAAATATGATATTCTCACCACAGCTTCTTTTGAAGATTTTTTTTTTTAAATCAGTGAGACAGATAAGGCCTTCTTAGCACCTACTTTGATTATATTGAAAAAAGGTGTTGCTTTCTCCTTTTGAATGATATTTTTCTGTCTTAAAGAAAGCAATTGCTTTCTTTAAGCAAAACACACATGCTAAAACAACATTAAGGAAGCTTACAATGGCAAAAGTTAAGAGTTGATTCTCTCTCCCACCTCAGTCCTCTAGCCACTTCTCCAGGGATAACCATAGTCAAGTATCTTGAGAGATTCAAGGTACTTGAATACTTCAGTTCCTGTTTTTCTGTGTTTCATTTAACTTGTATGTTTCAGTTCCTGTTCTTCCATGGGAGAGTGCCTACCTTTTTCTCAAAGAGGTACTTTAGAGTTCTTTCAAATCTTACATTGGCTAAGACAGCAATATTGGCTAAGAAAGCAAACCCCTGCCTCAGACTATGAAATAGAAATGAGCGAGAGCAGGGTAGACATACTTTAGGCAGGAGGTTGTGGTGAGAGCAGCTTATGTAATAGCTGAGATTTGATTTGGTATCAAGCTCAATCAATTGGGGGTCACTGCTTTATACCCCAAATCTTAAATTATGTAGGTGGGAAAATGTATAACTAGACAATTGTAAAATACAGTGGGTTTCCCAGGTAGTGCTAGTGGTAAAGAACCCGCCTATCAATGCATGAGACATAAGAGATGTGGGTTCGATCCCTGGGTCAGGAAGATGACCTGGAGGATGGCAGGGCAACCCACTCTAGTATTCTTACCTGGAGAATCTCAAGGAGAGAGGAGCCTGGTGGGCTACAGTCCATAGGGTCTCAAAGAGTCAGACACGACTGAAGCGACTGAGCACCCACACACGCAAAATACAATATCTACAAATTCAGGTATCTGTTTATTAATATTAGCTTGTTAGTATAGTCTGCTTACATTTTTACTAGATATGAAAATATACAGAGTAGGAAACTGTGTTCTCAGGACCTAAACACAAGTCCATGTACATAGCAAGCACTCACTAATGTTTCTTAATGAAGAGAGAATTAATGATGCCACTGATAACAGCAGACCTTCATGTTTAGTCACATGCCATCATTACTTATAATATATATCTAATATATGTATTTATATAAAACTTCCTGACAGGGCAATTACCTTTTTTGTCCAGCTTTACAGAAATGGAGAAAGTATAAGAATTTAGAATCATAAAGGAGCTCTTAAGATGATATCTAAATTAGTCATTCTGTCAGGTAGGCTAATATTTGCAGTTTTATCAGTGAGACAGATACACTTCTCCTGGTTTACTTTTCTATGACCTACTGGACTTGAGTTATAAAATGAGTCATACTCTTGAGGTGGCAGGCTGGAGGGAAGGATCAGCTAATCTATTGATGACTGACTGAGCTCAGCTTACCAGATGGTTGAGCTTGGTTGAGCCAGAATGACCAAACTCATATCTAACTATCTTAACTGGGAAAAACAATCAGAATTTATAGTATTAATTTCTTATTTAAGGGCCAGACAGATAAATCCCTTTCCTTTCAAGTCAAGTTAATAATAATCATTAGCAATTTGTCATCTCATTAGCATTCCTATTATCAATTAAGTCATCTCAATGTAAAGAGTATCTTGGTGTGACAGGGTGACTATTTTTTTCTTTGCAGAGGAAAAGGAGATTCCCCAGAGGCCCGAGCATTAGCCAAACAGGTGGCCACAGCCCTACAGAACTTACAGACTAAAACAAACAGGGCTGTGGCCAACAGCAGACCTGCCAAAGCAGCTGTCCACCTTGAAGGCAAGATTGAGCAAGCACAGCGGTGGATTGATAATCCTACTGTGGATGACCGGGGAGTTGGTAAGGCTATTAGTGCACTTAGCCCTCATTAAATTTATTTCAGTGAAGATAAGCAAGTTGTTGCTAGATATCCTGTGTCATCTGTGATTAGGTACAGAGGGGCTCTTCAGTCACTGGTGAGTAAGTCATTCCACAGTATGACTCCATCTCTAAATGTAGCCAGTAATATTTTTTGATTTAATCAAAAGTATTAGCAAATAAATGATTTTGTTGCAGGCAAATAGAAAAGTCCTCAGGTTGCAATTGAAACTTTGAGCTAATTATTTCCAGTTTATGTATACTTTCATTCTATTATAGTTCTTTCTGTTATTACAGTCCTTAGAAAGTTGACAGTTAAATATAATTTTTAAAACTAAATAAAAGGTACTTAACTACCAAAGTTATTTTCAGTTGTGAAGTCTCCTGCATCACACAATCACCTGTAGAGTTGATAAAGTAAAATTTTGATTTTTGAGATATTTTAGGAGTGGAACTGTAAGAATTTAGGTCATATTATGATAGCAAGCCTGTTGAAGCTGAAAGATATATTTATTTCATTTGCTGTATTCATTGGAAAATTTTTAATTATTTTAATTAATCCAATGTTGGCTAATCAGGCAGATGTATAATTTACTGGTGGAGGAATACAAATTTTCTGAATGGCAATTTGGAATTATATGTCAAGAGCTTTAAAAAATAGTTCATACCCATTGACTCAGCAATTTGACTTATAGGAATTTATTTTAAGAAATAATTAGAGATATTTCTAAGGAGTTATAAGAATGTATATAAACAACATAAATATTTAATAAGTAAATTGCCAACAATTATGGTTCATATGATAAAATATTACATAAATTTTAGATCCTGAATTTTGAATAATATCTAATGATGTAGAAAAATGCTCATGTTAAATAAAAAGAAGCACAGGATAAAAGTTAATGTATAGTTTATCCCAGTTTTATAAAAGATAAATATATGTATGTATATAGAGGAACATGCAATGCATTAAAAAAAAAACTGGAAGGAAATGTTCAAATATATCAGTCTCTGAGAGATGGGATTATGGGTGGTTTATATTTTTTTACATTTTTTATATTTCTCAAATTTTTTTGTCTTATTAGTGGGGAAAAAAAAACACACCACTAAATGTTACTATTCAAAAAAGAAATCCTTGCCAGAATGGCACAGTGATTGGCCTCTCCATGTCCATGTGAGTGACAGTGTCTTCCCTCCTGGTACAGGTCAGGCTGCCATCCGAGGGCTGGTGGCCGAAGGGCATCGTCTGGCTAATGTCATGATGGGGCCTTATCGCCAGGACCTTCTTGCAAAGTGTGACCGAGTGGACCAGCTGACGGCCCAGCTGGCTGACCTGGCTGCCAGAGGGGAAGGGGAGAGCCCTCAGGCGAGAGCTCTTGCGTCTCAGCTCCAAGACTCCTTAAAGGTAGAGCTCGGGAGCATGTATCCTTGCATTTCTTATGCTTAACTGTAATTGAAAAGCTAGGGAGGGAGAAAGTTTTTCAAATACATAATTTCCTGAGTCTAGGGAAAGTGAAAAAGATGTGATCAAGAATATAAGAAAATCCAGAGTTTATTAGGAAAAAGCTTATCAGTGTGTGATAGCAATTAAAATTGTGTTTCCCAAGAAATACAAGAGCTCTTTCATATCTGCTCTACCACGTATCACTTACACTTGTTTAGTCAGCCAGCTTTTTTTCTTAAAATGGACTCCTTTTTTAAACTTACATTTATTTAAAAGAAAAGCTTATAATTTTGAAGTCAGGAGCTTGATGAGCTAGTTATATTTTTTATAATATTCTATAAAAGAAACAATTATTAAAATAAAAACATTTTTCTGTATAACACCTAAAATCTTCTTAGATATCACCAGCCAGTGCATGCCACCCACTTTGAGAAACAGTGGAGGTGACTGAGACTTTTTTGAGTATAAATCTATTCTAAGACTTGGATTGGAACTTCCCTGGTGGTCCAGTGGTTAAGACTCTACACTTCTACTGCAAGGATCATGGGTTCAATCCTGGGTCCCGCTGGTCAGAGAAGTTCCATATGCCTTGTGGTGCAACTAAGGAACAAAGAAAAACCTTAGGTCGGACTAAATGTGAATTATGAAAAGGAATTTTTTTCATGACTTCTGAGAATTTTTTCGATCCATGTTAGAAAATGGATACATATATTATTGTTTTTCTTGAAATTTATTTGAAATATCATGTATCCAAAAAAATCCATTGTTGATTTCTTTCCTCTAAATATATGAAATTAATTAATTAAAGTAATATAAGAAATTTGACACTGTATCCATAGTATCTTACAGTTACTGAGATCATATCAGGCCTCTCCAGCACTGGGACTGGTGAGGGATTATCTCATTTCATGGTCTTCTTTGGGCTCAACCCTATGATTCTTAGTATTATTTCTTAGAGGCAATCAAGAAATGAAGTAAGATTTCTTGCTTGGGTGGAACAGTCTCTAGGGCAATGTGGGTTATGTCCTAAATCACTTAGAGGGCAAGATTCACTTCTTATACCTGTTTTATGCTAGCTCAGTACTTTGTACACAGTTGATACTCACAGTTGATAACATTGAAAGAAACACTGAATGAATGAATGGGAAGAGGGGACAGTGGCAGATGTGCTTTTTGGATATTTATGGAAAATTTCATTTGTAAACAATGTTTTTAAGGATCTGAAAGCCCGAATGCAGGAGGCCATGACTCAGGAGGTGTCAGATGTTTTCAGTGATACCACAACTCCCATCAAGCTGTTGGCAGTGGCAGCCACTGCTCCTCCTGATGCACCCAATAGGGAAGAGGTGGGTGTCTGAGGTCTTCCATTTCTTCTATTGGCCATCTGTGTGTGTGCATGTGTGAAGGTAAAATGTGACTACATTGTACATCAGGGGTAGTTGGGAAATTGTGGATGAAGGGTAGAAGAGGGAAGGATGGCCTTGCCACTTCTTATTTCAGTCACCACGTATTTCAGCTAGGAATCTCTTTAGGACATGTCTTCACTTGCAAGTAGTGGAAGACCTGACCATCAGAGATGAAAACAATGGGTTTTAATTTTATCACATAAGAAGAAACAGGGAGCTAGGTAGCCTTGGCATTGATTCAGCAGCTTGACACCTTAAAAGCTGGCATCTCTGTGATTTTCATGACCTTTCCTGATACTGATGGCTGATGCAGCCCTGGGCATTATGTTCAAGGCAGTAAGAAATGAGGACTGGGGTCACCCCATTCATAACCGGCATAATAGTCCCTCTAGTCATAACTGTTACTTCAGTGTGTCCTTAGGACAGTTTATTCTTGACATCGAAGTCAGGACAATTCTTTTAAGACATTTGATGTCATTCTTTTACTCAAACCCTTCAGATTATTTCTCTCTGTCCCAGAGTGAAGCCTGAGTCCTTACAATGAACAGTAAGGCCAGTGATGTGCTGGTAGACCAGCTCTCGAGGAGAAAACAAAACACAAAACAAAAGACTCTTATTTGTAAAATTCGTTGACTTTCATGATGTAAATACTCCCACAATGACTGGTTCAGTGTGAAGTCACTGTAAGCAGAATTGGGAAGAGATGGGCACTTCTGGCTGTTATGAGTTTGTGTGAGTTGATATCAGCATCCTTGTCACACCACTGCATCTGAGATGGTCCCCCATCTACTTCTCTGACCTCATGTGGTACCTCTTATCCCTCTCATGCTCCTCTCTCTGCATTGATCTTCTTGTTTATGTGTTTCTTGTTTATGTGTTCTAATATTGATGCCCTTGCTCTTGTCTTCTCTGGTCCTTCCACAGATAACTGCAAATGCTGTTCACTCACTTTCTTCAGGTGTCTACTGAAACATCACTTTGGGGTCACCACCTAAGAGACAACCCCAGCCCAAGGAATTTCCTTGTCTGCACATCCTGTTTCTCCTTTGTGTTTATCAACATTTGCGTATTTACCTCATTTTCCATTGTATGTTTCCCTCATGTTAGCATGAAAGCTCCATGTGGGCAGGGATTTTGTTTTGTCATTACTTTATTCCCATTTCTTGGAACAATTATTGGCACATCATTGGCACTGAATAAATGAAAGTAATCACTCTCCCAGAAATCCTCCAGGAGACCTTTGTGTAGATCTCATTGACTGGAACTCTGTCACGAGGCTACCTCACTGCAAAGGAATCTAGGAAAGCAAGTATTTGATTTTCTAGACTCTGTAGTACTGGCAGTGAAGGAGAAGGAGTTGGGTCAGGCACCCAAGACAGTGTAGAACAGTTGGGCAGAGGTTTGTGTTATTCTTATTTGCTAATGACCCCCATTTTTGTTCTGTAGCCTTGATTCCTGGGCAGTTCAGCTCATGGTTCACTTAGGCTGGGGTAATTTGCTATTTTTTCATTCCAGACATCTCTCGGTGTCGGATGGGTAGGTAAACTTTGCTGGTAATCTCTACCTAGATACTGCTGATTACCACAACATGTATTGTCCTGTTTTCTTCCTATTGGAAATTTGTGAGTTGCCACTGACTCTTCCCTTCATCAATAAAGTAAGACAAGCCAATTTGATCTCACAAATATATCTTGAATTTTAATTTCAGTTCATGTTGCCACAGCTGCAATTCTGATCCTTGTCCCTTCTGCCTGTGTGATTATGCAGCTGTGACTGGTCTTTGAATCAGTCACTAAGGCACAAATAAAATAAAATTACAGGTCTGAGCCTGATTATTTTCCTGCTTAAACATTTCAGTGGTCCTTCCTTTTCGCATAGGAGAAACCCAGGGCTCTGTGATCTGGCTTCTAATACTCTCCTTACCCCTGTTTCCCACAAAGCCCTGCCCCTCAGTTCATGTCCCAGCAATAAATACCTCTTTGCTTATAGTTTCCTGCCTACTCTGTCCTTTCTTTTCTCTATGTCTTTGTTCTCTCTGTCTCTCTACCTAATTATCTTCCCCATCATCTCTTTTGGCTAATTTCTATTTATCCTTTATTCTAGTATCTTTTTCTTCCTGGAGAGGTTAAGTGCCTTTATCCTCCCAAGTATCAATGCTTAAATTTATTATTGCAGATAGCACACAACTATTATAGGCATCTGTTTATGGGCCTTTTAAACCCTGCTAGGATGTGAGCTCCTTGAGATGCAGAAATAATATCTTACTCATCCTTGTATCTTCAGCACCCGTTCCAGAGCCTGGCACATAGTAAGTGCTCAGTAAATTTTGGTTGCGTGACAAGAAAAGCAAGCTAGATTAAGTCAGAGGGAGCAGCAGACATGGTCTGGGATTGAGATGGTTGACAAAAGTCAGCCAAAGCCTGTATATTCAGAGTAGGGAGACCAAACACGGAAAGAAATAAGGATGGAGGCCAGGAGAAGAGGACCAAGGAGATCAGAGATTTAGGAAGAGATTCTGAGCATTAAATGGCAAGAACCCATTAATGACTGAGTCCAAACAAGGGGCCAGGATGGAGAAGAGACTTGAGTGGGGTAAACATAGAACCCTGGCAATGAGGAGCCTGTTTTTGGGCCAAGAGACCTTTAGAGATTGTCTGCTAGGAGCCAGAACTTGACTCCAAGTATAGGCAGGTAGACCTGGAGGAGGTAGACAGGAGGGTAGATTCTGCTAGGCACTCCCGACGCGCTCTGTGTATAGTATAAGTGTCACCCAGGACTGCTGGTGAGTGTCAGTCCTCATAATGTTATTCAGACAAATGACAGAGGAACTTCCGTTCTCTAAGTTCAGTTGTCCCCTTCGAGGTATGCGACTTTGAATAACATCCATGCTGAAGAAGATGTGTGAACTGAATGAACAGTTCAGTAGATAGTGTTGCTTTGGGATCATGGAAATCAGCTGTATTTCCCTTGTGTCAGGCCTGGGTGTGAGCACCAGCTATCGTTTTTCCTATGGAGGTCAGGGGCAGAACTTTTACAACATTAATGGTAATGGGATATGTGAGGGGAGCTGCCCTGAGGAGGCTGGGGCTCTGGTTAGGACTCCGTGGATAGTCTTGGCCTGTAACGCATTCAGCCACCAACCTGGAGTAGGTTTTTCTGACCTCTTCAAACTAGAGGATAAGCCTTTGGGAAAGGGGGATTAAGTCTTTGGATGCTGTGAACTTCTGCTTGTAGACCCCATAGCTCTGTATGTCTTGTTTGCACTTGGTAAGCATTAGTTGAACTGAAATTCAAGGGTGTGTGTGCACTTGTCTGCATACATGTGGTGCTAATGACCAAATCTCTGAGGACATATGGCAAGGCCAGGACTCAATGTGTGACTGTTGTCTTATTAGCTGGGGTTTGATGTCATCTCCTGAAGTTTGGGTTTGATGTCATCTCCTGAAGTTTGCTCAAGCAGTTGCTGCCTCTACTTATAAAGAGAGAATTTTCCCTTAGGCTGTCTGACCTGTTTTATTGAAATAAAATTACCTAATATCTTTGTTTTTTTCCTCAAGGTATTTGATGAGAGGGCAGCTAACTTTGAAAACCATTCAGGAAGGCTTGGGGCCACAGCAGAGAAGGCGGCTGCTGTTGGAACTGCTAATAAATCAACAGTGGAAGGCATTCAGGCCTCAGTGAAGACAGCCCGAGAACTCACACCCCAGGTGAGTTTCACTCCCTTTTTATCATGTAAGTTCATACCATAGTGAGTAAAGGAGGTTAACTACAGAACAGTTTCTATACATTTTTGAACACTTATTATAAAATATCATGAAAAAACCCACATTTACCCTTAGTGCCTATAAAATCATTTTTATATTGTTTGAATTTTTTTTTTACAATGATATGATTAGTTTTGAAAGTAGAAGAAACTAGTAAAGTACCCCCCTCCCATGAAGAATTAGAGAAAAATTTGATAATCTTGAGAGGTTAGTTGGGTTTGATTTTAGAGTTTATGCCTTTCCGCACACTTCTTTGAGGGTATTTAAACATTTTTAGCTGTGTTTATACTTAGTTTTCTTTTTTCTTTAATTATATAACCAAGATATATCAGACTGTGAACAGAATATTGGAAGAGTGGGAACAAAAGAAAAGAAATTGGACAGGAATTAAAGTTCTAGTACATGACAGACGTTCTTTAAAAAAAAAAATCAGTTCAATGTCACTAAATAGTGGGATGTTTGTTTTTATTTCACTTATTTACTTATTGTTCACTTATTTACTCAGCACATATTCCTTAAATGCCTGTGATACATTAGAAACTGTCTTTGTTTTACAGATTTGTGATACTAGATTTGGTGGGAGCTTGTAGGCAGAGACAGGGGACATTTAGCATGTCCCTTCATTGTTCAGCTTTTATCCATGTGGCATGTTAACAAGTTAGATTCTCTTGAAAAATCACACTTGTCTAGCTTTTTAAAAAAACATGTCCGTAAAACATGAGTGTATCTAACTTTCCTGAAAAAGTCCCATAAAACATGAAGAATAAAATACAGAATTTCTGTATAAAACTGAGATTCCTAAAAAACAGAAACACAGCAGTAGGCTTAACACACCAACTACAGAAAGAACCAGGACTTTGGAGACAGATCTGGACTTGAATCCTTTCCTCATGTGTAAAATGGAGGTAACTCTTTCCTAGTGGATTGCTTTGAAAATTAAGATGTTTCTATGTTATACAGCCTATAATTTATCAAATACTCAGCAAATGTTAGTTCCTTCCCCTAGAGCTGTAACTGACTAGCTAAGAGCTCCTGAGCAAGTGACTTCAATTTTCTGTGTCTTAGTTTTTGCAGCTGTGAAGTGGAGAAATTACTATCCTGTCTCTCTCTCACAGGCCTGTTGTGAGGATTCAGCCTTATAACAGATGTGAAAGTACCTTGCTAACTATAGACAGTTGCTTTTAATAAATATTCATAAATCTGTTATAAGTAATCAGTATCTTTCTCAATGATGCTTTTTATGATGCAAGGACATGGAGGGCTTAAGTATTTGTCTGTTTTGTGTATGTTTGGAAGTATCAAGCAAACACTCCTTTACTTTGTTACTTTATTAGCTTCTTAAAATCAGGCTGTGACTGTAAAACCTTTTCCAAGGGCCCATTCTGGGGAGCTGTTTTTCAGACCAAAACTAAAGTGTTTGGCCTTAAAGGAGACTTGCTGACTTTTGGCCTTATAGTGCCACCTGCAGGTGAAGAGGGGGAGGCTTCTCTCAAGGCTTACGTTTGAGTGCAAAGGTGCTCTTGGCGTTTCAAGGTTGTTTGTCATTCCCAGGTGGTCTCAGCCGCTCGCATCTTACTTAGGAATCCTGGAAATCAAGCTGCTTATGAACATTTTGAGACCATGAAGAACCAGTGGATCGATAATGTTGAAAAAATGACAGGTAGAGTTGTGTGCAAAATTCTTGCTGTCTAATCCATGAGACAAGCTCTGAGAAACTCAAGCAGGACCGGTTATGTTACTGAGCTGCAATTGGACAAAGGTTCTGTCATGTGCCTGACAGTGTACTTGGCCCTGATTATGGCCTCTGAGCAGCGGCGGCTTCTCATTCAAGCCTTGCAACTTTGTCCAAAGAGAGATTCTTTGGGCCTCTTTGATTTTAATGCCGCCCTCCCAGTGTGATGTTTGTTGTTACAGCTCCTATCTTCTCTGAATAGTGTCTTTTCTCTGTCTGAGCCAGGGTTTGGTTTCAGAGGCTGAGAGGCAGTGTTTGTGGATACAGTAAGTGTCCCTGTCATTTTCAACCGGTTCACATTTCAAGGAACCACAATAGCTACCATTTAATACAACTTGTCTCAGAATTTCCTCCAACTTATCAACTACGTAGTTTTTTTTTTTTTTTAAAGGAGAAACCAACAACCAACAGACCTGTGTCTGTGCAGTTGAAGTGGCATCTCTGAATCTTCTTCATTCTCTGTGGAGGGAGGGATGGGAGAGGAAGAGATGAGGGAGGTAGGCGCTTCAGCTTCCCTACATGACCTGCTGGGACAGGGGTCCTTAGCAGCCAGTAATGAAAGTGGAGCTCCTTGGGCATCTGAAGACAGGTAACAGAAACAGGCTGTTAAGGTTACCGGAATCCACCGCGTGGCTCATCTTGGGCACTACAAGCTGCCAACAAGCAACAGATGGCTGGGGAGTGAGACGGAAGGAGAAAACATTCTTAAGAGATAATGTGGTGCTGATGTGGTGAAGGTTTCAGACACAATCCTGGTTTCCTCCTCATGTGAAAGCGTTACTGGGTGTCTGTGGTAGATATAAGAAGGCTGGGACCACGGCTGGTAAAAATGCTGTGAATCTGTTTGGCCTCCTGGGCTACATTCTCACTCCCCACCCGCTACCCACCCTCCAGTGGTGCTTTTGATTGTGTAAGAAGGATTTTGAGCTGAAGGCAAGAATTATGAGTGTTGTACTTTCACATGAATGGGCATCAGAGTTTTGGAGTCTCTATTCTTCTAAAATAGAAACTAAACTCCATTTCTATTCTCCGGACAGGGCTGGTGGATGAAGCCATTGACACTAAATCTCTGTTGGATGCTTCTGAAGAAGCAATTAAAAAAGACCTGGACAAGTGTAAAGTTGCCATGGCCAACATTCAGCCTCAGATGCTGGTCGCTGGGGCAACCAGCATTGCTCGTCGGGCCAACCGGATCCTGCTGGTGGCTAAGAGGGAGGTGGAGAACTCTGAGGATCCCAAATTCCGTGAGGCTGTGAAAGCTGCCTCTGATGAATTGAGCAAAACCATCTCCCCAATGGTGGTGGATGCAAAGGCCGTGGCAGGAAACATTTCTGACCCTGGTAAGCAATGCATGGTGTGGTTCACCTAACCTGGGAGGTTAATTCAGGCAGCTGACAGGGAGGGAAGAGAAGATGCACCCCACAACCCCCACATACAAAGTCTTGAAGGAAAAACTAGAGTGCGCTAGTTTGAGTATGCTAGATTAATCTTTTTCTATTCAAAATATATTGGACAGAATATTTCCTGCAGTGTTGGCAGGGTTATTGTAAATTAGTTTCTCTGGAGCAACTTCTCTGTACTTTCTTCATGTAGCCTGACTAAATAGCTCCTTGTCCTATTGAATCATTATTTTGGAAATTTCTCAAAAGATGCATAATAATCAATTTATCAACCACTTATGTCACTTGCATAACTTCTGCTTTTCTTAAAATGCTTTTTCTCTAGACACCGTTCTTTATTTCTGTCAAATTTGGAGGACCTGAGTTGACCTGTGGGTCTCCTAGGTGATTATCTTGATCATACACCAAATAATTTGGGTTTTCTTTAGCTGAATTTTGATCATGTTTTCATTGCTGCTGAAGATGTTTCACTCCTTTCTGGTAGGAAACATCTGAATTCCTTCCTTCTGTGAACCTCCAGTGATTCTAGCCTCGTCTCTGAGTAGGATCACTCAGTGTGAGACAGTGGGAAGAAGGGGCTGCCCTCTTCATCCCCAGCCCAGGCAAAGTCTACCTAGTTTTCTCAACTGACCATCACTAAAGACTTGCTCAGTTTCCTAATTGGAGTTTCTAATAGTTTGAGTGGTTTCCCAGGTGACTCAGTGGTAAAGGATCTGCCTGCCAATACAGGAGACATGGGTTCAGTCTCTGGGTTGCGAAGATCCCCTGGGGAAGGGAATGGCAAACCGCCTCAGTATTCTTGCCTGGGAAATCCCATGGACACAGGAGCCTGGCACGCTACCATCCACGGGGTTGCAAAAAAGTTGGACACAACTTAGTGACTAAACAACGACAATAGTTTGAGTAAATTCTTTAATTCTAGGTGGCAGGATACAGTAGCAGCAGCTCATTGTAGGGGTTAATATGCTAAATGCCAAGTGGAGTAGCTAGGGAGAAAGGTGAGAAGTACCCCAGGGAAAGTCTGCCCCATCTGAAAGTGACATCTCGCCTGTTCTGAGTGGGGCATGCTTATCTCTTGACTGCTTTATCATGAGAGGGGATGAGCACCACCTGATCCCAAAGTGTTCCTGCCCAGGAATGTCCCAAGTGCTTGTCAGCTGTCCAGGCAAGAAGGTCCCCTGAGCACTACAGGGAACGGCTGGTTTGTGCTGCTTCTGACTCTGCGGGACTCAGGGCATCTGCCTCGCTCTTACCTCCCTTCCCTTTCAGTCACTGCCTGTGCCACTTACTGGCAGCTTCACACCCAGCTTTTGTTACTGGAAACCAGTTCTTCTGCTGGACAGACAGTGCTCCAGGTTACTGACCTACCCAACTGAAAGTGAGGGTGTCTGTGTTTAGGACTGCAAAAGAGCTTCCTGGACTCAGGATACCGGATCCTAGGAGCTGTGGCCAAGGTCAGAGAAGCCTTCCAACCTCAGGAGCCTGACTTCCCGCCTCCTCCACCAGACCTTGAACAGCTCCGAGTAAGTAAGCCCAGATACAAGGGGAGAACTGAGAAGCAGGGTGTTGGGACTGCAGTGGCAGAGAGGTAGTCTGCTCTGGAGCCTCTGTCACCAGGTAGCTTTGTTTTATTTTACTTGAATCTCAGTCAAAGGCACAACTCAGCTTTCATTTTTGAATCTAGGGGAGTCCTAACCCAGTGCTTATGCATTGGGTGTGCTGGGTAAGTGGAGAGTCTGTGGTGTTGGTCTGCTTTGATGGGGAGTGACTGGAGCAGAGGAACTGGCTACGGTCAGTGTGAATGTGATGAGTGATGAGTTAGTGGGGTAGGCTGGTGAGGAGTGGGAAAATAGCCATATTGGAAATAGCTTGTCCTTAGGAATAGCTTATCAAGGCAATAATTTGATTTAATGTCCTGATTTACTTTCCTGTATTTCATGTCCCAAATTTGCTTTCCCATGTTTAAGTTTCTAAGTTTGTTGAGGACAAATTTGGGTGATTGTGCCCATAGCTAATGACTAGTGCTTCCCTAGCCACCAACACTTCTTTTTTGATATGATTTGATTCTTTTCATTTGGTGGACTGTGGGTGGGTGGTTAGAGTCAGGAGATGGGGAATGGATTCTTATGGGATTAATAGAGTCCTGACATTTGGAATCAAGAACTTAGAAGTCATTTGGTCTAGACACCCCTCATTGGTAAACAAGGAACCCAAGGCCCTGGGGAGAAGTTTCATGCTTATGCAGCTGCCCCTCAACTCTGGTCTGAAGTTAAGACCAGAACTTAGATCTTCTTTGAGGATCTTTGGCTTGGTATTGCCATGCATGCCTCCCTGGGATATGTCCAGAACAGTAGCTGCTAGTTTTTTGTGAAGAAAAAAGGAAGAAAATATGCTTCTGTTGAGATTGAAGCAGGTGGTCCTTGTGCTCAGTGTGGATGATTGTGAATGTGGGTGACTTTTCTGGGGATGCTTTTTTTTAATTAAAAAAAAAAAACTTGTTTATTTTTAATTGAGGAATAATTGCTTTACAGTATTGTTTTGGTTTCTGCCATACATCAGCATGAATCAGCCATAGGTATACATATGTCCCTTCCCTCTTGAACTTCCTTCCTATCTCCCACCCCTCCCACCCTGCTAGGTTGTCACGGAGCCCCGGTTTCAGCTCCCTGAGTCATACAGCACATTCCCACTGGCTGTCTGTTTTACATATGGCGGTGTATACATTTCCATGCAACTCTCTCCGTTCATCCCATGTCCACACATCCCTACCTCCCTATGTCCACAAGTCTTCTCTATGTCTGCATCTCCACTGCTGCCTTGCAAAGAGGTTCATCATCACTATCTTCCTAGATTCCATATATATGTGTTCATATATGATATTTGTTTTTCTCTTTCTGATTTACTTCACTCTGTATGATAATGCTCTAGGTTCATCCGCCTCATTAGAACTGACTCAAACGTGTCCTTTTTATGGCTGAGTAATATTCCATTGTATATGTACCACAGCTTCTTTATCCATTCATCTGTCGATGGACACCTAAGTTGCTTCTATGTCCTAGCTATTGTAAATAGTGCTGCAGTGAACATTGGGGTACATGTGTCTTTTTCAATTATGGTTTTCTTAGAGTATATGCTGGGGATGGTTTTTAGAGGAAAGGAAAGAATTCTAGTGGGGTAGTTCCTAGGACTTTACTTATAACCTAGCAATTCTTTCTTAGCTGACAGATGAGCTTGCTCCTCCCAAACCACCTCTGCCTGAGGGTGAGGTCCCTCCACCCAGGCCCCCACCACCAGAGGAGAAGGATGAAGAATTCCCTGAGCAGAAAGCCGGGGAGGTGATTAACCAGCCAATGATGATGGCTGCCAGGCAGCTCCATGATGAAGCTCGCAAGTGGTCCAGCAAGGTAAGTAATGAAGCTCTTCTTATTGAGAAAGGATGAGGAGCCAGACACACAGCCCAGAAAGAGTCTTTGGAAAATCATCCTTTCTCTGCTTTGGTTCGTGTTGTTGCCAGTAGCAGGATCCTCTTCTTTCTTGTGATTTAGTGAGACGTTTCTAGTACTTGATGATTTCTCCTTCTAGCAGCTCAAGTGAGAGCTAGGACACCTGTGGCTTGAGACGAAGGTTCCTTTCCTCTGTCCTAGGAGTATCAGCTCCCCTGATGGTGGACATTTAGTCTCTAAGAAATTTCTCTTCTTTCTTGGCGTCACTGAATGTTGTTAGATGCTCTCTTGTTAATTATCTACACTCCAAACATGGCACAGTCTTCTGTGGGCTCTGCTATAGCTATATGAAATATTTTCATTTTCCTTCTCTTTTCTCATAGAATCAGGTATTTGGTATCTTAAAATCTTTGTCCTTTGTCCTTTTATCAGAATCATCTTACCCTTCAATTCAAGACAGCTTCAGGCTAACTCCTAACAGATCTGGACGTGTAAATGTTAATGTGGTTGGTGAAAATTTGGATACTATAGCAGTCATGCCTCATGAATAACTTTTGCCTGCGTGCGTGTGCATGCTCGGTTGTGTCTGACTCCTTGCAGTCCCATGGACTGTAGCTTGCTAGGCTCCTCTGCCCATTCAATTTTCCAGGCGAGCATACTAGAGTGGGTTGCTCTTTTCTCTCCCAGGGGATCTTTTCCACCCAGGGATCAAGCCTGTGTCTCTTGTGTCTCCTGTGTTGGCAGGTGGATTCTTTACCACTGAGTCACTTGGGAAGCCCCTATTTGGCTCTAAATGATGAAAAGTGAGTGGTAGCCTTTCTAGATAAGAGTTGTCAGTTGTGTTTCTACTATGACCCTACATCTTTATTCCCAACATCTATTTTCCTTTTTCTTTTTATGCTCTCCATCATCTCAAGCTCTTGTATTGAATATAGTTCCAAAGGGACCTACCGCACATCCAGTTGATCTTGGGTTTTTTTCAGGCTGGGAATTTGACCTTGGTTTTTTTAACTCTGTATTTTTCTGAACTGTTAGCTGTGAGTCCAGGTTCACAGAAGGAATGGTGACCTTGCTGGTATTGGACCTGACCTGTGGACTTTTACATTCATGTCTCTCCAACTGGGGCATGCATACCCCTGGGACTGTTAGCAGAGTCCCAGTGCATGTGGGGAGTGGAGTGGGGGTGACAGTGAAGGTTGGTTTTACTTAAAGATTTTAAAGAAAATTTATTTATTTGGCTAGCCTCATGGCCTGTGAGCTCTTAGTTCCCTGACCAGGGATCGAACCCAGTCCCCAACAGTGAAAGCACTGGGAGTTTCCTAAAGAAAATTTAAATTTCATTACAATAAACCCAAATACATTGTGCAGAGGAACACACAGTATACATGAATTGTAAAGATAAACATAAAACTTGAGGGTGGACAGCATTGGCCTAGATGTTTATCCCACTCTGCTATTTGTCACCAGAAATCCTTAAATCTGACTGTGTCTGGTGGTTTGCCTCTGGGGGTTGCTGACTCCAAGCTGTGTGAAGTCAGTAATTACTTGAACCATGTGTGTTTAGGGAGGTGGGGAGTGGGATGTGTTTGTGACACAATCAGTCTGTCTTTGTACACTTTGGGACTCTGAACCCCACCCAGAAGGAGTGGGCTGGCCTTACCTTTAAGGAATGTGGGGATGAGTCCTGGTTGAGACAGTTTAGGTGAAAGGATTTAGAAGGTACCTCCACCACTTTTTGGCCCTGAGCCCTCCAAGTTAATAGTCAGCTTTTGGAGGCAGGCTTCCTGTGTGGATTAAGATTTTTAGGAGTTGTAGCAACCTCAAATAAAATTTGACACAAACTCTTACTTTCTCTTGGTTAGAGATGTTTGTAATCTGAGATTACATACCCTGAGATGTTTGATATAAAGAACCAGTGTTTGCCATTCTTTCTTTTTTTTTTTGCCATTCTTTACATCAGTGGTTCGGCTTCATTGAGGGCAGTTCCTTTCATTTTCTTTCCCCCTCAACTTATTCTTAGCATCTGATCTTCCTGCTCCTCCCTGGGCTTTCAGAATCCCATCCCTGGTATTAAATTAATTGTCTCCCCGAAAACACACAGGTCCCATTCTTTCATGGGCATCAACTTAGAGCTCCTCTGAACTCAGCCTTGATCAGTTGACAAGTTCATGCCTTAATTATCTGTGAACTGTGTAAACTGAGTTTGGGCCGAGTGCAATTGGAGAAATTTAGGTTGTACCCAAAGAATAGCTTTCTGAGACAGTACTAGTGATAGATGCAAAGTGAGATTGTGAAGCATTGTGTCTGAGGACCTCAAATAGGGAGAACTGCTCTGAAGTATGTTTTCCCTCAGGTGGATGCTGGATGAGGTGTCTTCTCGAGGCTCCTTCTAGCTGGGTGATCGTGGGGTATTTGATAAGCCCTCTTCACTCAGCGTTGTGTTTTCCTTTCCTCTTTCCTGATTTGATATCTGTTGCTTCCAGTTTATCATTTTAGATTCTGGGACTCTTAACCCCAAAAGGAAAAAAAAAATTGTGTCTGGCAGCTGCAGAGCTGACCCAAGATACCTCCTGTGTCCAGGAAACTGTAGAACAGTGTTCACATGAGTCAGCAGGTTTTTCACTTTGTTCTGTTCAAAGCAGCTTGTGTGGCTGCATTTACTTTTCCCCTCTGAATTCCTTTTAAAGTTAATAAGCTACTATTGATTGATTGTTCGGCTTCTCAAAAATGTTCTGACCCAAGAATTACTCTTTGGTAGTAAGTGTGTTAAAAAGGAATGCCAGTTTCTTTCTTTGTATAAATATGTCTCTGGAAACCTTTGCTACTGGAGTAAGCAAGCCTCTTTCTCTTGCTATGAGCAGATTGGTGCTGGAGGCTGAGAATTCCCTTTCTGCGGAGCTTGGCTCATCTGACTCCTGGAGGGAATCCATTTTCTTTCCCATCCTAGGCCAGCTTGGGTTACTAAACCAGCTGAAGCTCAGTTTCCCAAGCCCTACTGCTCTTACTAACACTGTCCCTGTTTCTCATCCTTCCTGCCATCGACCAAGCCGGGTAACCCAGCCGCTAAGGTGGGTATAAGTGTTGTAGCTGAGGCAGAAGCGGCTGATGCTGTTGGGTTCCCTGTCCCCCCTGACATGGAAGACGATTACGAACCTGAGCTGCTGTTAATGCCATCCAATCAGCCGGTCAACCAGCCCATTCTGGCCGCGGCTCAGTCATTGCATCGGGAAGCTACCAAGTGGTCTAGTAAGGTACTGATGAGCGCCCCCCAGTGGGGCTGCTCTCTATGCATCCGGCCATGTGCAGCCTTGACACATTGCATCACTCATGATCTGTGCGGGTCCTGTGAGTCTGGGCCGGGTGGGCGTCTGTCTGTTTGCACCTTGTTGTTAGGACTGGCTTCACAAGTTTCATAGGTCTGCTAATGCCAGATTAATTGGATGGCATTCATGTTTGGGGGTTAGAGAGAGATGGGGTCACTTTTTGAAAGGATTCTTTTTCTTACCGACCTTGTGGCCAACATTAAACCTTAAACCCCTTGGGAAGCTGTGAATGCGTCTCTCAATGACTTTCAGGTCAGGAACCACTGTAGACCATTAAGAGGTCATCTGGCCTGATCACTGGGCTTTGCCTGTCCCCCACCCCCAGCTCCTCTCTGCTGACCTCTCACTGATGGCTCTGGCAGAGTTGATCAGGGTGAGAAGCAGCTTTACATGGCAGGGTTTCTTGGGAGGACTGCTTGCTGTCCTGCACTTGGCTGTGTGGCAGATGCTGGCCTTAATGGGTACCCACAGGGAAGGGAGCTTCACTGACTGCTTGATCAGGGGTTTCAGTGGGCCAGGGTGTGGGAGTGGGGAAGAGAGAGGGCTCAAGACTGCAGGACAGAAACCAATAGAGCTCTGGCTTTAGGGAGTAGAGGATGGGGATCATTACATTTTCCCCTTTGAAGGAGGCATGTTGCAAGAAGAAAGGTTTTGAGGAGTGATGGGTGATAAATAACTAACCCTGGCACAACACTATTCTCTAACCAAGGTCATGAAATCCTGGAATGATCCCAGATCTGCAGTGGAAGAGGTGGGCCTAGCCAACCTTGTCTAACATACTCCTGTTCTCATGAGTTCTTCCCGTAACTGTTTTCTCTCTGGCCTCAGTTACTGCCTGGGATGTTACACACCCTCTTGTGTAAATGGTCAGCCACTTCATGGTGCCTGTGGATGCTTCTCACAGAGCACCCTGCCGTGGCATGGTTTGTGTATGTCTCACTGCATTGTCTAGAAATTGAAAAGCATGAGGGGAAAAATGCATAGGGCCTGGCCTTTTAGGTAGTTTTGAACACTGCATTTATTATTTTTGCTTGCAATCAGCCAAAAGATGAGCCTTTTGAAGGCATAAAGTAAATTACTTGTACATTATGACCCATGAGGGTTATAATGAACCAAAATGCCAAATCTAAGATAAGCTGCTATTAGTTGCAGGGGTTCCAGTTACAGCTTGACACATGATTTTTATTTTCCCAAAGCCTCCCCCAGCATCCTGTTAGCTGAAAGTTTCTTTAATTGAAGCCACTTAGCTGAGGGGACTGAAAAATTGATTTTTGGTCTTTTTAAACATGAAGAATGAAAATAACATGTTGCTTTAGGCTGACAGTACAAACAAGAGGCAGTAGAGAGAGGGAAGGAGCTGTCTAGGTCAGAAAAAAATTTTTTTCACCAAGGCTAATAATAGTTACTTGGTTTAAATTCTAGTTCAGCAGTGGCAATCCTTGGCTGCTATTTGTAACAAGGGTAAGGATGAAGAGGATGATTTCAGCATCTGGAAAGGCTCATCTGTATTTTTCCCTTCAGGTCAACTGTACTGCTTTCCCCCCACAGAAAGGAAAAATGCTTGTTTAACCAATTCCTTGGGCCCACTCCCATTTTATTGACATGATTAACCTGGAGATGCTGAAGTGCTTGTTTAGTGCTATGCCTGGGGCTCACATGTTGCCCTTTCAGATTAATATCCAAGTCCTCCTTTTCTCAGTCCAGTGATCTCTCTCTCTCTCTCACTCTCACTGAATGCCAGGGTGAGTGCCCTGGCTCACTCTTCTCTTTACTTCTCCTCTGCTGTCTGTATCACTCAAGAGTAGCCTGTGTATTCTCTTCTCACCTTCCAGAGGGCTGCCAGAGCAGCAGGCTCCCTCCTCTCTTCTCTCTGCTTCTACTTTGTTCCCCAACTTGGCCAGAGTATGGGCTGAGCTCACTCTGTGTCTCGCTTCTCTCCAGGGCAATGACATCATTGCAGCAGCCAAGCGCATGGCTCTGTTGATGGCCGAGATGTCTCGACTGGTCAGAGGGGGCAGCGGCACCAAGCGGGCGCTGATTCAGTGCGCCAAGGACATCGCCAAGGCCTCAGATGAGGTGACTCGGTTGGCCAAGGAGGTTGCCAAGCAGTGCACCGATAAGCGGATTAGAACCAACCTTTTACAGGTACTCAGGAAAAGTGTGTGTGTGGGGGGAGGGGGAGAGTGGCAGGGGTAGGGAGAAAAGCAGGAGAGAGAAACCGGGGTGAGCAAGGAGGAGGCACCTCAGAATGGAAAGAAACGGCAGAAAGGGGAAATAATGCATGTGAGCTTGGGAAAGACAGAGTTGGAAAAGTTTATTTCTGAATCAAACGAAAGAATTTTAATGCTTCCATTTCTGGACAAAGGGACTAGGCTGATTCTAGGGGGAAAACAAGTGGAATTCTGCTGCTAATATATTGAATACCTTCTGCATGCCAGCCACTGAGAGTAAGAGGTGGATAAGTCTCGCCCTCAAAGAGCTTGCAGGCAAGAAAAACATAGAAACCTACTCAATTTTCTTTTTTAGGTATGCGAGCGAATTCCAACCATAAGCACCCAGCTCAAAATCCTGTCCACGGTGAAGGCCACCATGCTGGGCCGGACCAACATAAGCGACGAGGAGTCCGAGCAGGTACGTAGCTGCTGCTTCTTATTTCTCACCAGCAGCTTCTGTGCCCCTTTATGGTGATTTAATTCAGCCTTGAGGAAATTTTACCTGTGAAATGAGTATTTAGTACATGGGATGGAGTCTTCAACTCTCTCAAAAGGGCACCTGTGTTGGAGAGATGCATCAGAAATTTGGAAAGGGAAGTGAAAAGCTCTTGTGCAACTTTTGTCATTTTACAAATGAGAAATTGAGGGTTAGGGAGGTTGAGTGAATCAGCAGCAGTTAGGACTCCACTCAGTTCTTTTTCTCCCTGGAATAGGCTTGGCTCTTGAGAGGCCTCTAGTGTGTGTTCAGTCCTGCCCACTGTTACCTTTCTAGCTGGAGAATTTCTGCTTCCTTGCCCTCTGGATGATAAGTGCCTCAGGGAGGATGAACAGTGCTATCTTTTCAGGGGCATGAGGTGGTTAGGCCGTGGTGAGGCGGAAATGACATCTCAAAGGAGGTGCTTCTCTTTTGTTTTTTTGACAGATACTGAAATAAAGATGGTGGGAATGTTTGTTTAAAGTGTTTCTTGTATGTATTTTGGCAATCACAGTTTGTTCTCTTTCCTGCCTCCTGGAAATGTGGCTCAGGTCTTTCAGAAAGCCATCATTTGAGAACCTCTTCCTCTCCTAAACTCCCTCCAATAGGCTATGCTGTGAACCAGACTTCCAATGTCTTCTTATGGGAGATAGCACATCTTCTGTTGATCTGCCCAGACAAGGCTTATCATACATTGGAATAGGTATTTGGCACTGTATAACGTGCTATGTAGAGGAGTTAATAAAAGACATAGTCCCTCTCCTTGGAGAAGTCTGGGCCAGGAGACAGAGGGTAGGAGCACTGTAGAGGAGGCAAGGAGGCTACTTCTCTTGGTGTCAGTAGTGCTGCCTTAACTACCATGTTTAGTTCATTAGCTCTCACCTTAACCCTCTCTTCCCTAAACCACGCAAACTGGATCTTAACCTGTAACTTCTGTGTATTCTAGGCAGGGTTTGGGTACTAGGCTATTTCCTGTCAGGTGATCTCTTCTGCCCCAAGGAAAGGAAATAGAAAAAACAAGGAAGGAAGAGTAAGATTCAAGAGTTTCTGACCTTATCATTTAATCAGTTAACCAACAAAAATGTATCTTGGAAGTGTCTACTATGTTCCATTAAATATTCTAGTAAAAAAAGAAGAAACTGACAGTGTTGGTAGAATGGAAGAGACACAGGACTGCAAGTTAGAAATTTGAGGCCTCATCCTGACTGTAGTGTGAGTTTGGCTGGCAAGTCTCTGAATCTTTCTGGGCCTCAGCCTCTTTGTTGATCAAGTGAAAAGATTAACTGATTGGGACTTCTAGTCCATAGTTATGCCTCTCAGAGCCCATAAACCCTCTGATATCGCATTCACAAATTTTGTGCATCTGAGCTTTTTTTCCTGGGGAGAATCCACAGCCTTTATTAAGCTCTCAAAGGATCTGTAGCTCAAAAATATATAAGAATTAAAAAAAAAAAAACTACTGGGTTAATAGATTGATAAGTTACTAGTGTGATCTCAGTCCTGTATTTTGTATGTTTAGAAGACTTACTTATTTAGATTTCATGGATTTATAAGGTGGTTGGTTTACTTGATTACTTTTTCATTCATTAATTAAATATTCGTGAAATACCTCATGTGACAGGCACTGACATAACACTAAAGTACAATAGAGAACAAAACTGACAAAAATTGCTGCCCTCATGTTACTTAAGTTTTAGATAAAATTAGATAAAACATCAGATGAACAACCTAGATAAAACATATAGTATATCAGCTAGCATGAGTTCTATAGAGAAAAGTGAAGACAGAACTGGAGGATGAGGCACACTGGGAGTTGGGAGTTTGTGACTTAAAATAAGGTGAGCAGGAAAAGCCTCAGCAAGGTGCTAACTGGGCAGAGATCTGAAGGAGGTGAGAGGTGAGCCACTGGGACACCTGAGGAAGAGCATTCTACACAGAGGGGAGCCCAAGGCAGGAGCTTGTTCAAACATCGTCACAGGAGTATACACTAGATGCCATCTGAGAATACCGACCACAATCAGCGATGGTCCAGTTTGGGGTTCTTTTTGGTGACCCAGCTATAAACCACCAGTGACGCCAGGTGCAGGTAGGGTAAACTGCATTCTATTCCTGACTTAAGCCTGTTTCAGAGGCAGGGCTCCATCAGGGACTCTGAGTAATGGAGAGCTCCTCTTTCCTTGCAGGCCACAGAGATGCTGGTTCACAATGCCCAGAACCTCATGCAGTCTGTGAAGGAGACTGTTCGAGAAGCAGAAGCAGCTTCAATCAAAATTCGAACAGATGCTGGGTTTACTCTGCGCTGGGTTAGAAAGACTCCCTGGTACCAGTAGACACGTAGTTGGACCTGGCTAACACAGAAGCCCCTGCTGCACAGGATGAAAATGATCTGGTCCCAGGAGCCACCCAAGATTGCTGGGGGGTTGAAAGCTACCATCCTGGCCTGACATAAAAATTAGAAAACATTTATACTCTTGTTATGGACACTGAAATGTGTCTCCGTATAAGGCCTGTATTCTCAAACACGGCTTTACTTATGCACACACTATCCCAATAGACAAACTGGGTTTCTAGCCCATGGACTTCACATAAGCTCAAAATCCAAGAGTGAACACTAGCCTGACACCCTGCTCTGCCCTTGTTCCCTAGAGGACGGCTCCCTTTCCGCCTCTACCCGCTCATTCTCTCCACTAGGCTCCCAAGACCCAGGGCCCAGATAAGTCAGTTAAGGATATCACTGTGCCTCCAACATTTCTTTTGGGTTTTCCACGTTGCTGACCCTGTCTGCCTGTCCTGGCTGTGCTTCCAGGGTCTTTTTCAGATGTGAGTTTCACTGCTGCAGGGGAAGGTGGCCTCTGGGGAGCCCCAGCTTGTGGGGCCTGAACTCACTTCCTTCCTTTCCCCAGTTCAATCCCTTTAGTTTCCCACAGTACACAGCCAAATTTCACTTTGTCAGGAGGAAATCACTGTATCACGTGGTTCTGTCTTTACCTCACCCCAGAGCAGTGTCTGTGCTAGGAAACCTTTCCGTCCCATACCCTGCCTTGGCCCGCCAAGGTAGCCATCCCAAGAACACACTGTGTGTCCTGGTGCTCTCTGCCACTGGAGAGGCAGAGGAGCCGGGCCGTGGCTCTGCCCACCCTCCTGGCAGGGCCACTCCACGCTTTGTCACTGCCTGCAGAGGTCTATGCTGAGGCCTTATTCATTCATTCTTAGCTCTTACTGTTCTTTCTGAGCTGAAATGCTGCATTTTATTTTTAACCGAATCATGTCTCCTGGCTTTTGTATTCTTCCCTCAAACCCTTCCTAGACAAGATTTTAAAGATAAATGTTTGTTTTGTAATTTTGGAAGATCCTTTTTATCCTTTTGAAATTCAGTCCTGAGAATTGGTGCTTGCCCCCAGGAGTGTTTAATGGAAAGGCAATCCCGTCTGAAGGATGCTTCCTACCTAAAGGGAGGTGGTACTTGCAGACTGGAATTCTGGCACTCTGGGGGATGAGTCAATGGGAAATAGTCCTCAGAAATTCCTACCTCCCTCAGCCAACAACAACCAAGTCTCTTGCGACCTCCCCTCCCTCCCAAGTACAGCTGTTCAAGGGAGTAATGAGTATAATTATCACCATAAGTTTCCTATTAGCAAAGTGAGAGAGAAGGGAGCTTTTCCTTCCCTGTACTTTTCACTGCTGTCTAAGCATTCCCCAGCACATGAAACTGTATTTCTTCCCAAAGCCAGAACTGGATGAGTAAAGGAGTAAGAACCCTTGCCTGAATGTCCTCCCCACCTCAAATGTGTGTTAGATCCTAACATCGAATGTGTAAAACTTAAGTTGGTACTGTACACTCAGGCTTCCTCTATTACCTTTTAACTGATGATTTTCAAGGCCCTCAGCATCTTTGAATAGTTGCTTAACTGATATAAATGCAATATGAATGCCTTTAAAGTATGAACCTATGCCAAAGATCACCTTTTGTTTTACTAAGACTACTTAGAGGAAGTAAGAAAAATCATGTTTGCTCTCCAAGTTCTTCCAGTGTTTTGAGACACTGGTTTATACTTTACGCCAATGTGCTTTTCTCTAATATCAGTGCTCAAGACACAGTGAAGCAAATTAATAAAAAAAAAAAATCCCTGAATGCTGATTAGAGACATCACCACTGAAAAACTACATTTATAAGCTAGGATTTGTTATATGCAAATATTTTCTGCCTCTTCTGTTTAAAACAATAAAGTACATTTGTATAAAGCTTTAAATGATGGGTATGTTATTTCAGCAAGAACTTAAAAAACAATTGATTTATTTATCTTGTCTGCGCTGGGTCTTCATTGCTACACGAGGGTTTTCTCTAGATGCAGTGAGCCGGGGTTGTTCTTCTTTGTGATGCGCAGGCCATTGTGGTCCTTCTCTTGCTGTGGAGCAGAGGCTCTAGGGTGCGCAGGCTTCAGTGCTAGTGGCTGGTGGACTCTAGGGCATGGGCTCTCATGGTTGTGGTACATAGGCTTAGTTTCAGCGAGAACTTTTAGATCAGGCTTCAACTTTATTCTGAAGAACAGCAAGTGAAGCTAATCCTCAAAATGAAGAAACTAAAGATTTTTATTTATTGTACTGGAAGAAGTAGGAACCACTGGGTAAGTATTACCACTGGGTAATACATTTACTTCAAAAGTTCTGTGTAATAAAGGACAACTCTGGGGATTATACACTAGAAGGAGCAGAAATGACAAAGGCTAACAGTAAGAGGAAAGCAGGCAGAAGGTACAGACCATCCCCTGGTTGAAGGAGTCTGTCTTAGAAGAGTACAGCTCTATGTGGAGGCCATCACTATTCCCTAAGAAGCTAAAGCTATTACACGTGCAGGAATATTGCGAGTCTACATGTCATAGTCCAAAGTCCAGGGATCCAAACAGGGCCGTGAGGCAGAGCTAGCTTCTGGGGACATATTCCTCTTCTTGCTTGAGGAAGCTCAAAGAGTAGGAACAAGTTCTTGAAGTGAAGCTGGGACATCAGTATTTTTGATTGATTTTTTGTATCTAAAAGCGGTAAATATCACTAAAGAGGGAGAGTACTGCTGACTACATTTATCACTGCTTTAACTTAGAAAAGCTGCTGACTAGGGAGGCAGATTCTGGGTGTTCAACTTACAGGGAAATGTCCAAGACTACTGAATTAGCTCAGCAATATCTGGAAACAGTATTCATGGCCTCATTTTTGCTACTCACCATATGTTCACTGGTGCTGCCTTCCTTCTGTATTATCATTATTCTCAAATCAGAGGACTCAAAGGACTACAGGATCACTACCTTCCAAGGATTCTTCTACAGTGGCACTTAAGGAAAAGCCATCACAGGAACTCCCTTTGAATAAAATGATGGTCATGACTCCTTTATGCAGAAAATAAGCTTTTGGGTTATACTCCCTTAAGAAGTTAGAACAAGAGGCTATTCTTGAGCTATCTGGAATTCTATGCTTGAAAAATACTTCATTACGATTAAGTATTCATGGTTCTTTGTCATAAGCAGGTGGTGGTAGGGACAGGAGCTCTGATCACTCCTTGTTCAGTCTGTGGCTAGAAGGTTGAATCTTAGATACAGGGCTATTAACATAATCAGTTAAGAAAGGAGCATTTGGAAGTGTTTTGCTGCAACCTTCACACCTTGTGTGATGATGCCGAGTAAAACGGGATCATGGCTCAGCTGGTAAAGAATCTGCCTGCAATGTGGGAGACCTGGGTTCAATCCCTGGGTTGGGAAGATCCCCTGGAGAAGGGAAAGGCTACCCATTCCAGTATTCTGGCCTGGAGAATTCCACAGACTGTATACCATGGGGTTGCAAAGAGTCGGACACAACTGAGCGACTCATTTTCAGCCTGCTCGAACACTTGAGGCATGTCCATCTGAGAATGCTCAATTAACAGTCAAGCTAAAAAAATCAACTTGTTGCTTTCATCTTTTTATTGACAGTGTAGCCAGAGCTGGAGAAAGGACTTACTGGATTCCATCAAATTAATAAATACAATAATTTAATTGTAAAAGCAAACAGTCTCCTTGGAAGTTTTAGCAGAAGTTACTAGAGGCAAGGGACTCTTGGCATACAATCTGCTGGGATATGGGAGGGTAGCAGAGAAAGAAAATTAGTCCATATATGGGTGGTTGAGATGAGGGATTCTGCAGAAAGAAAAGCATATGTATTGATCGCTCTTTTGAGGTATGAACTCTGAAAAGGAAGACATTAAAATGAAAAGCAACTGAACTGGGTAACCAACCTTATGCAAAGGGAATAAACATCTGGCAACATCTTAATTTTAGCTGCCAAGCTGATACTGGTTGTCCTAGAAATTGCAAAACGTGATCTTTCCTATTAGATGAAAGGCAGGCTTGGTGCCACAGGCAGGCAAAGAAAGAATGATGCTGTGCAGTGGGCTCCCTGGACCAGCACCAACCCACCAGCCCTTGACAGGAGAATGGGTGAGTGTAAGGGCTACTGTTAGCATAAGGGAAAGGGAATTATAAGTTGAGAAGAACAAAATGAATGAAGTTACAAGGAGAAAACTAATAGCAAGAACAAGCACTTAAGATCTTAACTTTCTCTATTCTTCATGTCTAATGAACCAAAATAAGTGGGCAAGGACTTCTCAGTCAGCCAAGTTAAATGATAACTGTGGGCTGACTTGCCAACCATAAAGATCAATCCAGGTTTATCAATGTTACTGAGGATTTTGTTTCTGCCTCATTATATATGTACTTATATATGTACTTTCACCTACTTGGTCAGTAGAGTAGAGATATTTAAGTACTCCAGTGACAGTTTCAACAATAGTTTCAGAGAGGAACCTTGACTGTAGCCTTGGGTAGCACAGACTATGTAAAGGGAGCCCCCCTCAAAGCAAAGAATGTAGGCAAATTGAAACCGTTAAGAACAGGAAGAAAAAAAGAAAAGATTAAAAAAAAAAATCTGACAGTATTGAGGCAGGCACATTTTCTTCCTTCAGCTGAACTAGGGCATGAGGGCTTTAGGCTAATTGGTTCAAGTGGTATTGGACAAGCTTTATAAAACATTAAGACGGCAAAGTTTCACTTAAGTTTCACTTTTACTACGTTAGTTTCCTCAAAATCTCAAATGCTTGTGCTTGCAATAACTTCCTAAAAGCAGAAGTAGTATCCCCTTTTATTACCTTAAAGCATTCACCCCTTTGATGCAAATGACTTTTACTGTGCTAACAGATGAAGTGGCACAAAACGTAGGTTGTACTTACTGCAGCAAGGTCCCCATAAATCAAAGTCAGCTTTACATAAAAATCTTATTTATAAAAAATACAATACCAAGTACAGTGAGA